CACTCTCATCCCTCCTCTGTGTAGTGGCTCCAGCCTTCTCTACACAAAAATGGGAGGAGCCAGGAAATATCCGAACGGCAGACGATTGTCTGGTCTGATATTCCCTGAAATGAGAAAACGCAGGACTTTCCTGTGTTTTGGGATGATGGATACTGTTGGAGTAGATATCTCTGCTCCGCGCCGATCCTATATGACTTTGCTTTAAAAGAAGGAAAACTCAAAAACAACCAGGACGAGGGTTAAACAATAATCTGTTTTAATAATAAATGGTAATAATACAATACACTTCTCAAAGGGGTCAGGCCTCCCCCTGCTCTGGTCCTAATGCCGGGAGAACTTATCATCTTGACGGCAGCAGGAAAGAGAGCGAACCCAAGGCCGAACAGGCTTACATACAAGAATAAAACAGGAGGGGTTGGATCAGCTGGTCATCTTTTCAGGTCATCTCATTGGGAGATGCAAAAGATGCTGTGTCGCAGCGAATCAGCGCGTGCCAGCAGAGGACCCGCAAACAGTCTCAGTTTGAAGCAAAACAAACACATCTGGCATTCGCTGTCTCATATTTCTGCAGCCTCCACACACACCTTCTTCAGACTTCCCTCTCTGCTCCCCTCCCCCCCATCTAGTCTCCTGTCCTGCAAACCTGCACCCCACAATGCTTGGAGCAATTTTAGTCCTCACATTTATGAAAGAATAAAACAGAGAAGTCAATAGAACACAAACCCAGGTATTGTTTGAGCAGTATTCACATATCTGCTCAAGTAGCCTTATCCTGCATATCTTTCACACACACACATCTTTATCATTAACAGAAGTTGATTGTTCCTTTTAGCCTAAAGGCTTCTGTGAACTTCCCTTCACCTCGGAAGTCAGCTCACCCAGAATCAGAAGGACCATTGTCTCTCTAATTGTGTGTGACCCAATCATCTCATGCTCTTTAGGAGTCTTGAAATGAACGCACATACATTTCTCTCATTAACTAACACTTAACATCCCATATATCAGGTGACATAAAAATGAATATACCAGAATTACACTGTATTAAACTTTTTCCCATAACACTTTATTTCAATTCTTCAGTACGTGGAAGTATGCATCCTTCAGGTGGAAGTGAACCAGTCGTCCTGGTGAACACATTCCAGCACCTGTTTGATCGTCAGCATGTGGAATACTGACAGATCGAGGATGTCTCATTGCCCCAGTCTTTTTCGGGATTAGAAAAATAACGGGAGTGAAAACCCCTGATTTTCCTCCCTTTGAGGAACCCTGGAAATATCCTCTTTCAACAGGAGTTCCAGCAGCTCGGATTGGAGCGCAAGACATAGCTTCTGGGAGGACAGGAGTGTTTCCTGTATCCCATTGAACTGTGGGGGGGGGGGGGGGGGGGGGGGAGAGGCGAACTGCAGGACGTATCCTCTGCTGATCCATCTGTCCATCAGACCCACGCGCTGCCACTCTGAGAAAAACTCTGAGAGCGGGCGCACGTGCTCGAGATGTGTTTTTTTGGTCGTCATGGTGACGAGCCACGCCAGAGCCCCTGCCGCCGCTGCCCGTGAGGCAACCCAAGGTGTGCTTGGACCGAAAGGGCTGCGCGGGGGCCTCCACACGCTGCGTCTCACTCCGACTCTCATCATGAGGCGCGTACACACTCAGGGGATGGATGGAGGTGTGTGCAGTGCTGCCCACATGAGGCGTTATAACGGCGCTCATGGGTTTATTAAGGCCGTGTGTACGAGGCGTATCTCGGACAGAGGAATGCCACGAGCTCTGTAGTTTACTAACCAACAGGTTAAAACCAGGCTTCTGCAGCGAGCCCTGCTGTCTACTAATCAACAGATTAGTGGCAGCCGGCTTAATTAGCGCGCACTGAAATTTATTAACCGACAGGTTAAAACCAGGCTTTAGCAACGAGCCCTGCTGGCTATTAACCGACAGGTTATAGGCAGCTGGTTTACACAGGGCGTGAGGCAACCCCAGGTGGGCTTGGACCGAAAGGGCTGCGCGGGGGCCTCCACACGCTGCGTCTCACTCCGACTCTCATCATGAGGCGCGTACACGCTGGGGGCACTCAGCCTGGAATACTGCTCATTCCCCCGTTCTAGCTTCTCTGTGATGTGCTGTAATGGTCGTCATGGTGACGAGCCACGCCATTGCCCTCGCCGCTGCTGCCCGTGAGGCGAAAGGGCTGTGAGGAAGCCTCCACACGCTGCGTTTCATTCCGGCTGTCATCATGAGGCGTGTACACGCTCAGGGGATGAGTGGAGGTGTGCGCAGTGCTGTCCACGTGAGGCGTTATAACGGCGCTCATGGGTTATTATGACCGTGTATAGGAGGCGTATCTCGGACAGAGGAATGCCGCGAGCTCTGCAGGTTATTAACCGATAGGTTAAAACCAGCAGGCTTCTGCAGGGAGCCCTGCTGTCTACTTAATCAACAGATTAGTGGCAGCTGGCTTAATTACCGGCTCTGCTTCCTCGGAGGCTCTCGCGGAGCAGACCAGGAGCGGGGGAGCCTCACTCCCCTTTGACTCGCCGCCGGGAGACCCTGTCTCTGGGGTGGTGGGGGAGCGGAGACGTGGGACGGAGCCCCTGCAGCCGCCGAAGGGCGAGTCTGATGAGTCTCTCCGCTTGCAGCCTCCTGTGGCCGGCGTGGACGCCGCAGCTGCTGCGGGCGTTGGTGCCGCTGTGGGCGCTCAGCAGGCTGGAGCCAGCTGTACATGCTGGCGAATGCCGTCCACCTGTTCCGCGGCCGTCTTCATGGACTCCACCATGGTGTGGAACTGGGGTCCGAACAGCCCGTCCGGGCTGATTGGAGCATCCAGTAGCACTTTTCTGTCCGTCTCCGTAACAGACGCCTGCTTCAGCCAGAGGTGGCGCTGGATCTGTGTCACCCACGCGGAAATCCTCGCCTGGGAGACAGCAACGGACGCGCACAGAATGAGCGCCGTGCTGGCCGCCTTGCTGATTTCCTCTGCCTCGGTGGTGGACCGCTCTACCAGTGTCACCACCGAGTTGGAGAGCAGCGCAATGTTATTCGCCGCCGCGTTGTGGTGACGGAGAGGGGGAAAGCATGTTCGACCGCCAAGCTGGCACCCTGCTCCGACTCTGTCTCCCCCGTCCGGAGGAGAGGAGGGAGAGGAGAACCGCACGGTGAACCGTGGAGGGAGGCGGGGCAGGAATAGCTTTTCTTCGGACTCCTGCCCGGCACTAGGGACACGAGGCCCCGTCCGCGGCTCGTAAGCCTGGACGGGCCAATCGTCCTCCTCGGCCGCAGCAGCAAGAGCGTCCGCTCTCTGCTTCCAGTCGCCCGAGGGGAGACGGGCGCAGTGTGTGCATGCTACCTGCTGGTTTAGAGCCGCGTACGCGTGCTCTGACCCCAGGCAGGATTCGCATACTGCTTTTATCTCTGCTGGTCATAACTCATTATGAACCCAGAGCCACATGAGGGACAATCACAGATGCAGTTGTTGCTCATGATGATTCTCAATTGCTGTGCTTCAGTAACTGTGCTGGTTTGCTGAAGAAAAGAGGGAGCAGATTGCCGGGCCTCCTTCCTATTTATACCGGAAGGAGGCCCGAGGGTGGGGCCCACCTTGAGGGTGGGCGTGGACTACATGTTTTCAGTGCTGCGTGGGAGCGCAGGAGATTACCCAATAGCGATAGCCTTAGAGGGTGAAGCCATATACGAAATAGAACACTCTCTCCCCAGGAAACTTACTGCAGACAGGCTGTAAATGCTGCCTGACAGAAAGATGAACTGTATGTGTGCTTGTTCACATACCTCTCCATTTGAGTGCGCGCCAATGTGTGGATGTGCTGCCCTATCAATCATGATCACACAGCCCAGAGTGTAATGACACAGTGTTTGTACAGTCTTTTGTGTATGTGTGTGAGTATTTGTGGTATGAGTATGATCATCCAGGCAACACGGTGTGCTGACAGGGTATCCATCAAACACACAACATCAGGATGCTTCTGTAACTACTGTACAGTTGCATTCACAGACTATTTCCAGTTATACTGATGACATCTAAAACAACAAGCAAAAGCATATCTCTTTTAAATCCCAGCAAAGATTTGTTTCATTCTATTTTTGACATCTGTTTATAGTGACAGAAGGAAACATTGATTCGTAGGGAACCTAAAAAAGCCTCGACTTTGAAGCCTAAAACCTTTATAAAGGGAATTTTATAAGCAGGGAAAGAGGAGATGGGAAGTGAAGAGGACAGGAAGCACAACAATAAGAGGTAAAGGGCAGGGGATTGTAGACATGAGCATAGAGCAATGCCCCTAGTAAAAGTTGTGCAGTGAAACAGCAAGGCCACACGTGAAGGGTCACGGAGAAAAAACAATATGACAGCTGACATATAGGGAGAGATTTTAGGTTAACCTATACCTCCACATAAACAACCCGTCACACTGTAGGCCAGACGATAACACGAAAAGTCACTCCCAGCAAGTTAATGATGAATTGACCAAGTTGCGGCTTGCTGGCCATGCAAATGTGATTTATTCTGATCTAGAGGGAAAGAAAAAGGGAGGGGGGAACTGATGCGAACGGAGACTCCAATCTAGTGTAAAAGTGCTGCTGCTGCTGCAGTGCATTGGTTCTGTATTGTGAGCAAGATTAATTATCTCATAGTTAAGGGCTACAATATACTTTTCTTTCCCTTCTCCTAATCACTTTCTCTTCAACTCCTTCATTTCACTCTATTATGGAGAATCTGTAGAATCCCTAGTCATGAAATAAGGCATTTTTCGCTTGGCTAGAAGCTGAGAAAGTGGTTGAATGTGTCATCACAGCACTCTGAAGGTGGTGTTTTCTGTTCCGTATTAGGTTTTCTCTTTACTAAGTAAAGAAGGGGTTCGTTTTCACATTGGAACTTAACCTTTTCTGGCCATAAAGCTGCCAGCAGAAGAAGACAGAATGGGAGAAGAGTGGTGGAATAAATTGACCACCCACACACACCAACACACACATACAGATACACATCTCCTTACCGTGCAAAGGTCTTTATACTGCATCTTCTGGAACTTGGTATCAGCGTTGCCAGCACACAGCTCCACGTATCCCAGCACCACCTGGAACACTGTGTTGTGGATGGCCTGGGTGAAGTGCATGTGCAGCTGGTCCATAGCAGTCTGCAGAGAGAGCCAAACACACTGTTATGAAATCTACTGTGTTGAGATGTCACTGTCGTGTGCCAGTGTGGGTCTGTGAAAAGGCAAACAGCAGATTGGCAATTGAAAATCAAACTTCTTGGAGACTGTATACTTGATCTTTTGAATTATTTGCAGGCATGTTATGTTATGTTAGCTACACAATATGGGATGAGGGAAAATGGCCATAGCCGACTCCTGGGAAATGCAATGTTCAAGTCCAAGAGAAAATAGGCAATTTAGCCTCCAGTTTTTCCATGATTCACACTCTGAAAACAGCTAAGTTTGCTGTGGAAAGTGTCACTAATGAAGCAATAACAAATACAAATAGAGAAACACAGTGGTAAAAGTATCTTAGTGACATGTATGGCAGCACAGCTAACTGCCTCCAGCTATGTTAACTTGTGGCTCCATTTATCTCCTTCATTACTCTGAGCCATCTCATCATAATGAGTCATTATCCTGAGCCATGAGTCCAATGACAACAGTGCTATTAAACAACACAGTAAAGTCGCAAGCTTTAAAACAGTAAAAAGTTTAAATATCTTGTAGAGCTGAAGGGTTAGGGTTAGATCCAATGTTTTTATAAAAAATATTGATTGGGGCAGCTGTAATAAAACAAAATAACAGCTTTTTAATGGAAAAGTAGGATTTCTTTATCGTTTCATTTATCATTATGTTGCTTTCCTGAAAAACATAACATTTTGCTACACTGCACTGGGCTCAACTCAAGTCTTATAGATTTGTTCTCTTACATTTACAATACTTTTCTGTTTTGCAGCTCCCACCCACATTCTTTCTTATGGGATCATTGTGAATTGAGGACACCAGAGTTGTAGTAGACGTGGGCAGAGGGATGAGCAAAGCCCTGTAGGTAATGTGTGTGTCAGTGCAATTAGATGGTCTTACCACAAGCTCAAAACTGTAAAAAAAAGTTGCCCAAACACATTCTGAATGCTGCTGCTACAGAAGAAATTCAAACATTTCTTCCCTATTTTCTAAGGTAGTTTTCAACTTCATCTGTCCAAAAGAACACCATTAAAATTGCTGGCTGTCCAAAGCACTGCAAGAACCAGCAGGCAACTATAGCAACGCACATCATAATAATCATCATCTTTAGACATAATTATCAATCAACTAAAACAGCAAACAGACTCATTCTTCTGCAGCCACTTATACAAAATAAGCACATGTTTCATTCAGATAAATGTTAGAAAAGCAAACCTGGTGTCTGGCTCATTAGGCTATGAGCCAGGTAATGAGAGTGAGAGCAGAGAGAAAATACAAATGGTTTGACGTGTTATGCTACTGAAGGTCAAGAGTGGAGTCTTGCCTCAGTTCATGTATACACATAGGCGGCGCGTGAGGCTCAGGTTTGGGAAGGCTAAATAACTTTTTTTTACCTGACGCTGCCCGCCTCTGGCGTCTATAGAAAAGAGATCAACTCAGTGAAAGCACCGCCTGCTGACCAATCAGAGCTCAGTGTGTGGAGTTTAAAGCTATCAAGTAATATTACAGGATAAAGGAAATACAGTTTAAACTGCCGTATGCAGAGAAGACGCCGACGTGTTGCACTTATCATTCATATCACATCATCAATCACATCATTGATCATATAATATCATAAAATATCATATATGTCCTTATCTGAGTCAGCTTCTCGAGCCGTATCTGGCCGTGCAACACTTGCAAAAAAAATCTAACAACAACAATCTACAGTACCCGCCGCCCCTGTGTATACATCCAACTAAAGAGTGTCAGATTAATAGGGGTCATTTGTTTATTTGTGTGCACTGCAGCAAAAACAGACTGTGGGTAACAGCTAAGATTCAGACAAATGTCATAGATGGAACTGGTTTCTGTATTTATTTAAGTTTTTAGTTTCTCAACAACCACTCATCCAAATGAGAGCAGTTCTTCAGAAAGATGCAGTAACTGAGGGCAAGCAATCGGCCGGACATCATTATAAGTGTGAAAAACACAGATGCAGAGTGCGGGCAAAACCAATTCAGTTCAAGCCAAACGTTTAAAAAATATGAAAAAAATAAGCCTTAAGGAGTAACAGATCCTTATTTAGCTTTTCAGACGGAAACCGCTCATTATCACAGATATAGGAAAAACACTATTGATTCTTCTCAACAACTATCAATGACGCAGTCTCAAACTCAAAATGGCTGCTCATGTCAAGAGTCACACAGCTCATTGATTATCATAAACTGTGGCAGAATTTGTAAATAAAAATGACGGAAAGGTTTGTTATTGCCAGGATGAGAACAAGTCTCTTTTTGTTTGCTCCAGTTACACTTGGACACATTTTTCAACTGTAAATCAGCAAAGAGCTGTCAGACGTTGGTACTGCCAAGTGTAATGCGGAAAAAATGAACTTTATTTTATGATGTCTACGTTGGCGATTGAACATTTTAAAGTTGTAAATGTCATGTTTGCAGAACAGTATTCATCCAATGCAACTCAATATGAGTTAAGTATCTCTGTCCAATTACATCCATCGAGTACAATCCTTTAACACCCGCTGTAAGTCCTGAGCAATGAACCCATACAGGCTTTAATTACTTGTAGGCTGAGCGAAAATGTGCGTTCCAGGAGCTGCTATGACTCATAATACTTCATGATGAATGGAACTGCATTTATGGAATTACTGAGTCCATATACATTTGGTCGAAATATGTTATTCTCAGCCTCATCATCGTTTAAAATGACCGTGCTTGATTGCTTCTCATTTTAGTGGACACCGGTCCCCATTTTGGTAGGAAAGTAACAAATATTGATTACAAAGATTATGTTAGCACACAGCTTGTTAATACTCAAGGCTTGACTGATTAGTGAGAGAGCATTGGTACAGGAGTAGGGAGTGGAAGAAAAACGATATGTTTTCAGCTTAACAGAAAGCCCAAGATCAGGTGAGAAGAAAAGTAATTTATTTAAAGCAGAAAAGGGAAATCAGAGCCAAGTTACATTTTGGAGATGTTGATGGAGCAAATGGGTATTAAAGACAGGCCCTAGCATTCGAGATTGATGCGTTTTAACTAGTGCTGTCAAAATTATCGCGTTAACGGCGGTAATTAATTTTTTGAATTAATTGCGTTAAAATATTTAACGCATTTAACGCATGTGCAGAATGGCCCGCCCCATACATGCCACCAGTGGAAGCGCCAGGGTATGGCTGGGGTAGGCTACACCCATACCAAGAAATGGCTTAGCCCCACCATGAAAAATGATGTTAAAGTAAGCAAAATAAAGTCTGCCAACTCGCGATTGCCAACTTGATTTCAGTAGCCACGGTTTTGAAAACTTTTGTCACGTAGTGATCGTCTTCTCAATAGAACATCTTTGATAACGGCGTGGTGTTGTTGCAGGAAGTCCCGACGGAGAATACTTTTGCTGTAGTACAGGGGTGCACATAACTGGTACGCAGGTTATGTGCGTAATCTGAAATGCGTACCGTCACTTGTGTCACAAAGCGCATTTGCGTACCGACGTACTTGTGAAGCTTTTCCAGAAGGCGGTTAGATCACCGGACGACAGAGTCGGTCTCCGTGTGCACAGACAGGGCTGCTGTTAACGTCGGTCTGTACAACGGAACTGTGCCAAAACTACGCCAACCGGCTACGGAGGGAGACTCCCCCCTTCACTGGAGAACTGCGCTAAAACAGCTGATCACAACGTTCACACTCTGTGGTCACGAAGTACTCCACTAGCCCCCCCCCCCCGTCGACTTTCCTGAAGTACTCCCCGTTGATAGAAATCAACACGTAATGAAATAAGACCCCACGGTTTGATGATTGATAGGTGTGTGGGTTGTCTTTCATTTTGACACGCAGAAAAATGTTATAATAAACATAGATACTGTATGTTAAATGGATATATCCGCCTTCTTTCATTTATCTTTCCATTCCCACAACAATATGCATAAATAAATGGCATATTTTGGACATAGTTCGAATGGTGATTAATCATGATTCATTAATTTTTAAGCTGTGATTAATCTGATTAAAAATGTTAATCGTTTGACAGCCCTAGTTTTAACAAAAGATATAAGGGCTAGAATGGGATATTTTGTTTTGTTTTCTCTTGTCTTTTTTTCTCCTCTTAATTCTCTGTCAAAGCGTCTTTGAGTTTCATGAAAAGCGCTATAAAAGTCCCATGTATTATTATTATTATTATTATTATTATATAATGAGTAAAAGGAGAGTGAGAAGAGAAAGATAATGCTTTGTCATTTGAGGTCTACTATTATGCTCTATTAGATTTGTTCCCAGGCATTTATACAGAAAGTATGATATTTCATTTTTGTGGATGATTTATATGGGTGTCAGTTGATTGACAGTAAGGAATGAATAACCTTATCACAAAGGATGACATGCATTCCCTGTGGCCTAAAATATTCTCTACTCCAATGAGAGAACCCTGAATTCAAACACTGGTGTAAAATCCGTTAGGTAAGAAAGGAATGGATAATAATGACAAATAGGAACTTCAATAAAACAAATTACCGTTCCTTGATTGCTGTATTTGTTTAACCAATTTCTCTATGGAAGATTTTGTTATACTTTTGTTATCTAAATAATGGCAAGACGTTCTGAGAATAAAGAAAAAAACAATGGCTACTGATTGCACATTACCCTAGATATAAATTAAGGATAGGAAAAGACAAGACATACAATATTCTTATAAACCCCCTAGAGAAAGATCAAGAGTCCTATAAAAGGACATATGCAGTAGATGAGGTCATGTTTAGCTATTTCCTGTGACCATAAAAATGATCCAACCACTGACCTGTGTCTTTCCCAGGAGAGTGTAGGCCAGCTGGACCTTGGTGTAGTGCGAAACATCAAAGTTCTTACAAGTCTTCGACAGGGCGACATCAAGCTGCTCCTGGAGGCAGAAATAGATGGACGGCAAAGGAAAAGAAAAGAGAGGGATTATCAACTTTAAGACCCGGGATTTAGATATAGATGTGCAGATGTATTAGCTACCACACAAGGTCAAGGTCAATTGGATGTGCATGTGGGTGTATTTATACTATTTATACAACTTGTGTGGGTGAAAGTCTTTGACAAAGAGATAAAAAGAGAGGTAAGAAAGTAAATCAAGGTTAGCAGAAAGTGAGGATGTACATGTTTAACAACCATGACACAATAAGCCCACCTCAAAGAATACAGTATAGCGCTGACAGAGGCGGAAAGTGATCAAATGCATTGCATCACTGCATATTTTCTCACGCCTTAATGTATGTTTGAAGCTGCACTTAAACACTATGAGGAAGGGTGACATTTGTTCTGTAGTGATTTGCAAGCAGTAACTATTTGCATAGAAATAGTCGGTTTATATTTGAGCTGAATTCCTTTTCAAAAACGCTTTAAGAGAAACCAAATTAGTGAGTGCCATTGTATTGGTGGAATTTAATGTAGTGGCGTTTTTAATGGTGCTTAATGATCGGTCATGTGAGGATTAATCCCCTAGATGTAAAGTTTAAAAATCTCCACCTTTAGTTCCTTCTATTGCAGTTTTCCTCAGATTCCTTTTTTATGCGGTAAAAATAATTAAGTAGTAAAAACACTGATTCTGTAGCTTTTTGACATCTCTTAAGATATATTCAACGTTTCACTTTATAAAACGACCACTGCCCAATATATTTTAAACTTTTACATACTGTACAAAACCTCACTTATATAAGATTTTCTTTTGGGCTTAATCATGCTGAGAGAGCACAAAGTGTATATATTTATAGAAAAATTGCTTTCCTCGGTTGACTGCTTGGTTGCTCTTCTATAGAAGGCATTGACATTAGGAGATTCAAGCGCGTGTGTGTGTGTGTGTGTGTGTGTGTGTGTGTGTGTGTGTGTGTGTGTGTGTGTGTGTGTGTGTGTGTGTGTGTGTGTGTGTGTGTGTGTGTGTGTGTGTGTGTGTGTGTGTGTGTGTGTGTGTGTGTGTGTGTGATGAGGGAGCTTACAGGCTAGGCCAACCAGTGACGACTCCATTGTGTAAAGCATACACACAGTATGTGTCGTATATGAAGAATATATGTATATTTATAGTTTATTATTATATGAATACTAAATCATTATATTGGTAAGGTGCTTTTGGCTCTTAGCGATCTTGGGTTGACTCTTGATGTGTGTGTTTTTGTATGTTCTCTGTGCAACCGTTTACCTTTATGATTTTAGAGGATTTTGCTTTGCTTATTAACAAACTCAGGCTGACGAGTAAACAAACAAGCACCTTGCCGTGCGACTATGCATGTGTGTGTGTGCACATGCACGCCTGTTCCTTGTGTACAGACAAAAGTGTAAGTAATGCATCTACTCAAGCGCAGCAGCAGCGGTGTAGAGAAAATGGCTTTGCATACCATTTATCACACAAAAACACCAAGAACCAGCTAGAGATGGAACAGATAATTGACTGTGCTTGCTCACTGATAATAATGACTTTCTGAATGTGTCAATATTTTGCAGGCCCAGAATGAGAAACTATCAAAATGTCAAAATGAAGTATAAATTGCTTCTTTCAGATGAGTGCTTCTGGAGAATTACGAGGTTAGACCACAATCTTATTCACTGTTAGAAATCTCTTTTTGTGATATTGCTCACAAATAACGAAATTAGAGATGAATCAGAAAGCCACATACCTCTATTTGCTCCAGAGTGTCTTGTAGTTTGGAATTCAATTCGCTGTAAGGGGGGAAAGAAGAATGATGATAAGTTCCTCAATTGTGAAGGAAAAATTGTATCAACTAACCACTAACTTCATCCATATAAATTATTATTCATTGTTAAAGGTTTTTATCGATAAAATTACAAAGAGTATTTAAATAATGACTTAATTGGATAGTGCACGCCAGAAGTCAGAGAAAAAATAAATAATAGTTTATAAATGTCTTTGTTTGTCATTGCCTTTAGTTCATCTCCTTTCAGTATTCTTCGAAAAATTGGGTACTATTATAGGAACCACAAAGTGGCTCGGTTTACATTTCAAATGAATAAAGTCTTCTCAAAGAGGAACACTTATCTGCAAGCTGCAGCCATGTTTCGCACAATTTTCTGTTGGGAAGACACGTTTTTTTGTGTTTCAAGTGCTTGTACTTCAATGTCTACAGTGTCATCTGCTATACAATTGTGTGTGTGTGTGTGTGTGTGTGTGTGTGTGTGTGTGTGTGTGTGTGTGTGTGTGTGTGTGTGTGTGTGTGTGTGTGTGTGTGTGTGTGTGTGTGTGTGTGTGTGTGTGTGTGTGTGTGTCTCTGCATGGACCAGACACGGATACAAAACGCCTACCCATCCTTGGAGTGTGCTAATTTTTTGTTGCCGCATCCTTGCTTTTAACTCAAAAGCTGCAAAGTGGCAAAATAAATCACGACTACTTTTCCTGTCCCGAGACACCAATTCTATTCCCATGTGACTCCCCCTGCAACGCACCCATTTATAATCATCCTCTGTTCCCCCGCCTCTGTCCCTGCTTTGCTTGGGGTCTTTTTCAGGTCAGCCCGCACTTATGTTGGGCCTTGTGAAACCGCAGGAGCCCAAGGGAGAGAGTGTCCTTAATAAATTGCTAATTAAGCGTCTTAGCTTCAGTTGGGTATCGAGTTAGGAGAGGGAGGCAGGGGGGGGGGGGAGAGAAACTGAGAGGAGGCTGCAGGAGTCCTACAGGTTGTTTCCAAACCAACTGAAACAACGACAGTAAACAAATGTTCAAAATGGAGACCATATTGGCGGAGAGTGTATAGTTGGGGGGGCCTACTCGTCATTTCCAACACTCTTGCTCAGACCTCACCCATCTTTAAAATCCTTAATTTTGATCAACGCTATCTCAGTGACAAAATCTTTCCGCTGACAGACACAGAGGAAAAGATTGAGAATACTCAAAATAGATTTAATGGTAGTTCCCACTTAAGTAAGAGTCTCAAAAAGGAAGGATAAAACAATGCCAGCGTTGCTCTCACCACATCAGGAAACTGATCAAAGAAGCTACTTATGAGCGTCTGAACTAAAGTGCCATGGATGATAGGGAATTTCCTATGAAACAGTGTGACACAGCAGATGCCAACAGAGAGCTACTCGGAGCTCTATTGCTATTACAAAACTGTAAAATGATCCATTGGGTTGGTATGTACCGCAGCAATGATAACATAAGACATTCTCAGTTTTAAGCTCAGGAAGGCAAGTCATAGCCCAAAGTATCCTCAAACTGGGATTGGAAGCCAATTTAAACACGCAAAGTATGGAAGCTGGCTCGACTACAGAGGGGTGAACGCATCAATGTCAGGTCCTGGCTACTGAAGCAAAAAGTGTCTGAATGTCCATATGCAGAGCCCAGGAGAGTGCTAAACAAAGGTTTTCAGCATTGGCAGCCACACTAAGGAGATACACCAGAGGAGCAGAGGCCAACAGGATAAATGCCCTGTTCACCACACAACTTTCTTTAATACTCCCACGCTGGAGGATGGTAAAGGAACAGAAGCTGAACCACAAACTTAACAGTGTTGAAAACGCATTTAGGAGGAAACCAAATCATCCCACCACTTCAATGCTCAGGGGCTTAAGAACACACGAGTGTAAGGCTGAGAACTCCAATTTCCCAGAACAAGAACCAGTGCTCGTCACAGCATGGCAGACATCCGGCAATGGTTGACGGACATTAAGAAAACTGGGCAGCAACAGGGCGTTACATACCTAGTGGTTAAAGGAACTTAAGTGCACATTCCAAAAAATTTGGTAAATTACTAAGCGTATCTGCTTTCTTGCAAAGAGTTAGATGTTTGATTAGCTTACCTCAGCTTAGTATAAAAAACTGAAAACAGGAGAAACGGTCCAAAGCTCTAAGTACACTAGCATGTATCACTAATTCACAGGTTTCATCTTGTTCCTTTAATCTGAATCAGAAACAGACCAAGTCAGTGAAATCCTAATGTATGAAATAGTAACTAAATAACTCCCGTAAAAAACAGGAGTTGTTTTTACATTTCGGTTTTTAAGTGGATCAAACAATAGCACATAATTATTGTCGATATTTTCAGCTGCTGGCAGCCAGATTTTGAGACCTTTGGACAGAGCCAGGATAACCATTCGCCCACTGCTTTCAGCTTTTTGCTAAGGTAAGCTGACCATTAGCTGACCTCCATATGTAGCGTACGGCCACAAAAGTGGCATCAATCTTCTAAATAACTCATAGAACGGTATAAAAGTGTATTTCCCTACAATTTACTTATTTAACACATTACAGAACTTCAAACAGTTAAGTCTTAACATCATCACATCTTCTGTTACTCATCATAATCACTAAACGTAATCGACAAGTGCATTATAAGTCTGAAAGGGGACTGGACAACCAGCCAGAGCACTTGAAATCACACAAATGGAGCCTTTAATGCTTGGTTCAATAATGTAATATGTAATCATGTTAAAGAACTCTCTCGATTTTTGAAAAACAACACAAGAGGTCAACTAAAGGTCGATAACCCAGGTGACCATATTGTCCAGTCCTCCTGTTATTGTGTTCACCCCATGAATATCATGCCGAATGACTCACTGTCCGGTGAGTGATCATGTGTGTGCAGATGCAGCTCCTCCCCACATACTGGCTCCCTTCCATGATCACACAGAATGCATAAATAACCGATGAGGAGAGAAACCTAATTAACAAGCGGTTCCCCGCAGGGAACAAAGAGATTGAAAAGGAGATTCGTGGAAATCTGTGTGTCGGTTATCACTGGCAATAGCTGTCCACAGCGCCTCGAGGCAAACCTCTCCACTGTGACTGCTGACTTGCTCATTTGGCAAAGTGGGAGTCTTCAAGTGCTTCAAGGATCCTGCAGGACGCTCAGATTTTGTGAGAGTGCTGTTTTTGCTGTAGTCATGTTGGTCACTGTTATATTCAAGGCAGACAGGCAACACAGTGGCATGGGAAGGGCTTCAAAGAGTGAAACATATTGAGAAAGGACAACATCGACCATATGCAAATCAGAAAGTTGAGGAGGTTGGGGGAAGGTTACGAGGAGAGGGCAAAGAAGCAAAAGATTGAGAGTTAAAGGTAGGGTAGGTAATTTTGGAGAAACCAGATTGAGTGCGCTAGAATTTGAAAATACACAGCCGGAAAAAATCTGCCACTTCCTTACAGAGCCCCTCCTCCAACACACGACCAATGAGGGCACGAGGTAAGTTTGTGCACAGATGGAAGGCTGACAGGCAGGTAGGCCATCCAGTTATTTTAGCCGGGCCGGCTAAAATGATTGGTCGTGCTTTTTAAAGTACTACGGCTTCCACAGATGATATTTTGTTATGGATTTGTTGTCAAAGCACTTAAGATATTCATTGCTATCGGGATGTCAAGAGCATTCCATGGAATATAACAAAAAATGTATCTCGAGCCGCTTTCTCAAATGTACCTACCCTACCTTTAACAGATGGGAGGTTAATATACATTTAGGATTTCATGTTTTTGATTTCACTGATCTTAAACTGTTAAATGGAAATAATATGTGTATGGTCAAATAAAAGTATATAAAAACGAAATCATACATACGGGTTCATTTTAAGGTATCCCTGTCAAATTGTACAACATTTTTGTCTTACAATCTCACAGAGATGCTGTTGGTGTCTTTTTAAATCACACCTTTGTTTTTCTATGACCACAGCAGAGTTACAGTTTGTGAACATCGTGCTGACATGCTAGGGGTCTTAAGCTGCCCAAGAGCTGCCACTGTCTGATGAAAATGGACAGAGACAGAGCATGAGGTTGTCTAGGTGCCTTCTGGGGGAAGCAATATTGACTTTTAAAGCGTTTGGGACAGGGACAAAGGAAGGGCAGGCGTGAAACAAGCCTCAGTGTACTGAAGAGCATTTAGCAGCGCATGGAGCAGCATACTGTAGCTTCAAGGTTAGATCAGAGTGCAGCAGACCAGAAACTAGGTGCTAAGGTAGGGGCAATGCAGCAGTCAGGGCTCAAGCAATGCTGATGCAAAAGGTGACAGATGTGTGATCAATACACCAAGGTTTAAACTACTGCGTCCAGGAAGCAGACTTAGCATATTGCAAAGGAAAGCAAAGGTGAAGAGTTCAATCGAATGTCTAACCAGCTGCACGTTTGCAATGCAGCTGTATTAACAGATACAAACAATAAAAGAGCCTCTTTTTATGTTGATCACGGAATGGTTGCAATGGATTGTATCATTGGTGGATAATGACGATCAACTCTATTCTGCACACCATGATCCAGCACATTCACAAAACAGACATCCAGCGTAATAAACAGCAGCTGCAAGTGACAAAGAACAGTGGGAGGAGATTTCCATACCACAACAATCCGCTGTGCATAATGTTACCATATTGATCACCATTTCCCAGCACTCATTCTGTCACTCGAACCGCATTGTCCCAGCCAGGTGAAGCGGATAAATGTAGAGGTGCAGGTGAGCAGAGTTGTTAAAAAGGTCTGTGTGTGTAGGAGGAGCTGTGAGCTAATACTGAGCGGTGTTGACAAGCAGCTCAACATTTGGTGATGTCAATGCTAGCTCCAAAAACAGACTAACGATGTATTTGTGTGTGAGCAGGTAAAGAAATGTATTCACATAGAGCTCTTGACAAGATGTTCTGTCCGAGTTTGTACGTGGTCTCACAGTAAGAGGGAGAAGGCCAGCAGTGACGCACATCCCACATCAATCTTTAATCAATACATACAAAGGAGCTCTGTGGCTCCCGCCTACTGTACGGCCACAAATTGAGTACGATTACACAGAGAATCAAAAGGACCGGGATGATTGGCCCTCTGGTATTCAATGTGGCCAAGTCTACCTCAGAGCACATACATGCAACTGTGGGTTTTCTTCGGAAGTTTTTCCTTGTACGATGTGAGGGTCTAAGGACAGAGGGTGTCGTATTGTCATACTGATATTTTGTACAAACTGTAAAGTCCACTGAGACAAATGTAACATTTGTGATATTGGGCTATATAAATAAACATTGATTGATTGATTGATTGATGCAGTGTCTTCATTATACTCAGAGAAGAGGGTTTATTATGGGCACTTGTGTTTGGGCACAATCAAAACACAAAAAACATCATTGTGTACCCACAATGGTTCCAGGGATGGGCAATTAATCACGTTTATTTTCAATCCATAACAATTTTGGCTTCAAACGTATAAGAAAAAAAGGTTATCGAGATTTTTGGGATGTTTTCCATCCGGCAATAATGCTCCTTTTGTGCTGTGTTATAAATCAAGCATGACCAGCCTTACAAAATGTTCAAAATAGGTTTAAGAGTTTTCAGTATTTTGTGGCGGTGCACAATGACATAGTAGATATCTTTTGGTCTGATCCATTTTCGATATATTATTTTATTTATGCAATTTTTGCATTCAGTTATATATGTATGTTTGTGCATGTATAGAATTACACAGAATGTATTTTATTTATCTTTTTTTTTGTTTTTCAGTTGATTCATATTTTAAATTCAACAAAATTCACTGCTAAAAACCGATTGTTTTAATGAATCCATGTTGCTCGGAAAGTCAATGAGTATGATCATATTCAATAATCACAATATTGACCAAAATAATCATGATTATAATTGTTACAATAATAGCCACCCTAAATAGTTCAAGTTCAGTGTGTTGAGCGTGTCTGTCCGTCCGTATGTTGATGTGTTTTTCAGTCAAACCATCCGAATCACATGACTCCCCCCCCCCCCCCGCTGCCTGCCTGATGTAACTGGTCTCACAATAGGAGTGAAGTACACAGAAAACGTTTCATCCACCCATAGCGGTGCCAGCCTGCTCCCATTTAAAGACAACTAAATATCACTCTATCAATCTGGTCATACTTTACCTGATGCAGCTGTAGTGTTTGAAGGTGCTGGCAGCCTTTTGACATTCCAGACAGAGCTGGATCGCACCTGGATAGTCTTCCTCCTAAAGTCACACAGAGGTGAAGTCATTTAATGTATGAAAACTAAATATATCACGAGTAAGTCTGGTTCACAATCTGGATTATGACAGTTATGTGTGATTTCTTTTGTGCATTGAGTTTTGTTTGAACTTCTTGAAAAATGGTTGTTCCTGCCGATGCTATACGGATAACTAAGGATTACACTAAGTGGAAGTCAGATCTACTCCATGTGCTACACCTGACCTTCACAATAGACGGGCGTTTGTGGGGGCGTCTTGTGTTTGTGTGGGTTTGGCTTTAAAAGCACAATCCCTACTGACGTTTAACCTTTTAAGACAATTATAAATGTATCCCTGCACATATACCTGCATGAGTGTGTGAGTGTGTTTATGTGTGTGTGTTTGTCTGTAGAAAGGATTACAATACCTCAAGCATCTCGCTGAGTCTCACATCTGTTCTTTGCTGTGAGGGGAAGAATGAGATGAAGGAGAAAACATTAATACAGCATAAATCAATACCAGGCCACAATATGATGGATAATTACTTCAACACTAGTTATATGGTTTTCAGCACCATGTTGGTATACACATTTTTTTTCAAGGATCACGTTAAGTTGAGTAGAGGGGAACAAGTACACCATCTGTTTTATCTTCTTTGTGATTCAAGGAATAGATTCCCCCCAAGATCCAAAGATAGAAGACTATTCCCACACACAGTTATCCCACCGGCATTGATTTATTTCAACAGGGTGGACGTTTGGGTCGCAGGGACCTTTCTCAAGACATATCTACAATCATTATGTGACACAGTGTTTGAAGGTGTGTCAATGATCACACACAAGGTAATACGTGACTGATCATAGAAAACTGTTTCAGAATATATGTTTTATTCATTTAAATCTTCATTTTAAACCATTTGCAATTAAACTATGATGTAGACTAGGTAGTAGTGACCCTGCCTTCATGGATTTTAATAAACAGCTCAACATTTAGTCACATGTCCTTACACGTATACAGTCTTTGTGGCATTACTCCAGTCTTCACTAACACTATAGCTAGATGCAGTTTGGAACAAAGTATGTTGTATGTGAACCCAGAGTGTAAACTTTACCAGCGTCTTGATGGTCCTCAGTGACTTCAGCAGGCCAGTCAGCAGCTGCCGCCTCCTCTGATTGGCCAAAAGACCCAGGCTGGCTTCTGTGAATTCTTCCTTCGAGACGCTCAGTTGCCTTAAAATGAGACGTCACAGAACAGGGGGAATATCAATAAATATGAATGCTACTATGCTAAGTAGGCATTTAAAAGTCCAAACTACTAGCCACCTCTGAAACTGTATCTGTATCTATAATAACACACACAAACAGTGTACAGTATATGGTCTTGGTGTTTTCCCCGTAGTCATTATCCCAATTAATGCAGAGCACCAAAAGCCTATTTTACAGAAGATTTAATGGTTTTACAAACCACTCACTAGTATGAATAATTTAAGCTCTTCATACTACAGGCTCACCAAAATGCGTATGTTAGCAATCATAATTAATAACAACAGAGACACGAATCATGATACCTGCTCTCAAATAAAAAAAATACAGTTTACCACAACACAAACTTTAAGAAACCCTTAAACAAAAAGTCTCATCTGATTACCCACAACAACAAAACATCAAGCATGATAACCAAATAAACATTATATTGATGTACAGATTAAATGTATGGCGGAACGTTTTTGATTCAGACTTAATTTCAATATGTTTTTTTATTTGTGACCACATTAACAGACAGAGAATATATGACTGGAAGGGACATTATCATGTTTATGAGGAAATCACTTGGTATGCAGATGCAGTTTAAATGGGCTATTTCAGCAGCAATTTATTAGTGAATAGTATAAAAAAGAACACTAACCTTCTTGCATTAGTGCAAATGACCGCTGCCAGCTGCAGGTTGGTCTGCAACGATGTCACTCGCTCCAGTTCCTGTGAAAAAAGTAAGAGGTCAAATCATAGACTGGGTTCAATAAGACAAAGCAGTGTACTGTTGTCTGTAAACACTGGGACTATTCAAAGTTAATGTTTCCGATCCAAAGGAATTATTGATAATTGGCCACTAAAACTGCTAAAGAAATCGATCTAGCACTTAGAAATATTCGGGGGCTATTCTATTCTCTAGGCAAGGCAATTTTATTTATATAGCACCTTTCAACACTCGACAATTCAAAGTGCTTTACAAAATAAAAACAAAAGACATTTAAGAATAAATACAGCATAATAGGGCTGTACCTGAATATCCGAATATTCGTTCGTTGGAGTAGGCTACTATTCGGGTTTCAATTTCGTTATTCGGATATTCGTTTTTTTTATTTTTATTTATTGAAATCTCCAATATCAATGTAAGAGCTTGTGCCTCTTCGGGGGGTGCTAACACTTAACCATAAACGTTATCGTTTACTTTCTCCGTCTTTATATGTAGATATTACTTTTTCTCCATTAATCTCCCTCACGTTGTTTCCATAGCAACAACAACTTCTTGTCAACTGCGCTAACTCTCCTTCAAAATAAAAGCATGTCCATACAAAATAGAAAGCCAAGCCAAGTTACACTTAAGACATATACAACTGTAACGAAAGTAACAAACACAATGCAATATCCTTTTCAATTTCAAAGAACAGAAATTGGGTTGTATACATTAACAAATAACTATAAAACAACAATACTGTAGAACAACAAAAAGAATGCCGTGAATAAACCGAAATACACGTGTTGAAAAGGTTCGCATGCTGATTACTAGCTAAATGCTGCTTTTCCCATGTTTAGTTATTATTCTTGGAACAGAGAGCAGAGCAGACCCGACCCAGAGGACCTCTAGGACACAAATATATTGTCACACCGGTTCATATACAGAGCTGTCAGTGAAATATGCCTCATAATAATGCCATTTACACACAACGCCCATTACAAAGTACTGCTCACACACAAACTGTAAATCAGAACAGTCTTCATTGAAATGTTGCTGTGAGTATCTTATGGAGAGGGATACTATCAATTATGTGATTATGGTAAGGCATCAGGGGAAAAGTTTAATGTAGTTCACAACCCAGAAAATTCAAGAAAAGCTTATTTTCTTCAGAGCGTTAACATTTAGAAAAGGATCAAAGCACTCTGCTCTGAGGGTTCGGTTATTACGCCACTTCAATTGACAACTGCGGAGATCAAACAATCAGCCAAAAGTAGGACAGAGGGACAAATTGCATTGCGGTTATATTTTAGACTTTTTAACTTTTTTTATTTTCTTGAACTGCCAGATATCGTGCCTGAGGTGGGAGATGCTTGTTTTTTGTATCCTTATCTTTGTGAATGCTGTATCGCTTAGCAACAAAGAGGGTTGAGTGTTCACAAAAATATCATCATAACACTGTCAGAGAAGAAACAACCCTTTGATAAAAGAATATAGTCCGGGGAAATTAATTTTCAACGGTCATAAAAACTAAAAGAAACATCATCAAAGTGCCACTTCAGCTCTGGGTACGAGATCAATGATCCCATTCAAAACAATCTGCTCTCATGATCTCATGATGATTGTTGATGACGATCTTGACAAATCCTAAGACCTGTTTTACAAAGGTTGATTCAACAGCCAGGGGTTTTTAAGCACCATGCGACTCATATGCTTTTTTGCTCAGGGCCTATTAAAAAGGTACTGTTACATCAATGTTAGATATCACAGCATGCTACGATGCTAATACCAATGGTACAAATCATACTAGAAAGATAAAAAGAGATATCAAACAAGACTTTTATTTAAATTAAACATGTTTTTTTTTATTATTTTGAAATCGAATTTGTTAAAGTAATGCTTCGAACTGTTCAGAAATACACGTATCTTGTTGAGTTAGATGAGACGATTGATACCCCTCCTATCTGGATGCCATATGTGCAGTTTGATCACTTAGTGTAGCTTAATTTAGCATCAAGACACTCTAAAACCCATCTCAAGTTACCTAATCAAGAAATAAATCCTTAAGAAAAAAAATAACCCCATTAAAAACGACAACTTTCACAGATGTATCATGTGGACAGAGCCATGCTAATTGTTTCTATGTTTCCATGTTTATGCTAAGCTAAGCAGCTGCTGGCAGTTATTTCATATTAAGCGTATATATAGGTATAGACATGGTGGGATGCTAACATTGATACTTTTCAAATCAAATACTTCAAAAACATCCAAGAGCAAACCTTCACTGTTAGGAACACAGTTACCTCTCTAAGCACTGGTTAGAACAGTTTAGTATAACCTGAAGGCCCCACAAAGGTATCAAAATGTGTCTCAGAAAATGCCTTCTCCCTCTAGGCAGCAGGGACTGGGCTGACTCACCAGGTCCAGGTCACAAATAATTTAGAGAGTGATTTCAGAAGACTGATCACATACTAGAAGCTGTGCAACCCTGTCTTTAGCAACAACTCTGCTACAACTGTACAACTCTACGTGCAGACTTATCTAAGCCAGGCTCATAAAAATGTCACAGCAAATCAAGTTTACAGGCATCAATCTCACAGAAAAATCCCAATCACCAATACCTTTAAAATAATGGAAAGTTTTCAATCGATCAATGACTACCAGTGCAAAGAATTGGTTCGTTTAAATCCGTCAAGTCAGTGCTTATTTTGTAGGGAGAAAATAAGTGCACCCAGGGTCAAATCTGTTCAAGGAAGGAGTAATTTATTTCCTGTACTGAATGGAAACTATTATGTCCCTTCACCAGAAGAACACACAGTATCTCTCACTACCCCATATTAAGACGGCAATTATCAACCCACAGATAGTACTGTGAGCACAGCAGTTGCTATAATGTAGAACCACTCATGCATTCAGAAATGTGCACAAATCCACACAGGAAAAGCCCGAAAACAGCTTGATTACACACATTCAGCTTCAAACAGAGTCACACACTGGCTCAACCTGCTGAGTGCTCAGTGTGTAGCCTGAGGCTCCAATTTGTTGTTCTACTACTGATGCTGTCCATCCTGTCTTCAAGCTACAGTTAACCCGACAGTCAGAAGGGCTTTATCAGCTCGGATTGTGTAACTGGAAATACAAATGTGCACAGTGGCTATTTCTCGTTTAGGAGTTGGTACACATAGGATGATACATTGACTTGTTCAAAAAGGGAGGCTGAATTTTACTATACAACCACACACAAATGCAGTTAAACCACTGTACATATACAGAAAGGTGAGCTAAATCAAGCGCAATTAAGCTATACAACCCGACTCCTACAATGTCCACAAACGGAGGCTCTGGTGTAGGTAGTGAAGGTCAAAGAGAAGGAAGTGTGACATCAAAGAGAAAAGTTTTTCTAGGCTTCTTTATTCATATATTCATAAGAAGTCCTCCCTAGGACCCTACAGCACATTGGCTATGCACTGGCTCCTTGTGTTACCCATTCTGCCTATATAATGATGCTGCTGTTTGGGTCCTGCCCTCATCGCTTTTTATGCATTAAGGTTAAAAAGAAAACAATAGGGAAATTGTGTTTAAGAGACAGGGATTGACAGATGGAGATTATATTGTTTGTATACAGTATGCTTATGTCTCAACATTCCTACACAGTTACTTTAAGGGTTAATTGACCATGCATACAGTATGAATAACATTAGATTGTTTCCATTTCTAATCTCCCAAATGCCACAGCCTTTACACCCCTATGCATTTTTCACACTGAAATATGAAACCCTTTCAAAGGAGGCAACACAAACAAAAGGCACCAGCATAAATAAGTGTTTCCAGAGGGAAATGATCAAATGCAGTGTTACAGAATAAAGTCCTTTTCTTATGGTGTTCAGTACAATTTTAGTCAGAGCTACCTAGGAAAAAATCATTACAACTTAGACCCCCAGAAGGTAATGTTTCTCTCCTGACAAGGCTAAGGGTCATGTAGTTGGCCACTCAATTATAACCTGTCTATCTTTGAGAGATAGGAAAGGGCAGTTCCTTTAAATCTTCACACACACCTTTTTATTGATCCAGCAATTTAATTGGATCCCGCCTTGAACTCATGGAATATCATGTAAAATTATCTGTCAACTTCAGAAAATCTAATTCAGGTGAAGAGGTATAACAATAATTAAAAAAGAGCAGAACAATGTGTACACCTGAATTATATCCACCATTCATCAACCTTTTCTAAAATAATCAATAACAAAGGCTATGGCTTTCATGTAACCTTCCACAGGAGGAGGCCTGGTCACACTTCTGACCCCTTTGCGGGTGCATTTGTCGCTTGAGAGAAGCAGCAGTGATCATACAAAAGCTCCAACAGAAGAAAGGTTTGCCACTACCTAGCTATGACTCATGTCAGACGCTTAGCGGGCCATCATTGCAGGCACCGAGGCATGAGTGTGTGTTTGCACTATTTATGTGTCCTCCGATGTGTTATACACAGCACGAAAGCACTGTGGAGAAGTGGCATTGTGCCCTGTGGCTGTGTTATTGCAGAAGTATGTGTTTCTGTGTAGATGTGTGATACAATATCACACAGAGAGGGTAAAGAACTTTGAGAAAGAAATCATACTAGAGAAAATAGCAGGATGGAAACTGATAAAACTTCCATATAGAAACAGATCAAGAGTTTAGCAATAAGTTGCTCATTGTATGAATGTCTGAATAATAGGAAATTAAGTAGTGAAACTTCCTTCTTCAGTGGATGTAGAAACTGAACTATAAACTCCACAGGGAATTTGCAGTCTAAGAGAATGAGGGCATAGACGGGTCAATGCAAATGCCCCCGAAATCCCTGGCAACTTCTGCTTCTGCTAAAAGGCCTGCTGTCATTTAGACAGAGACGCAGGGAGGGTCACAGAAATAATTATCAATTTGCTATTCATAGACTGACCTTTAAAAGCTTTACAGTGTTGGGCGATTTGACTGCAATTTCACTACATACCAAATGTGTTGAAGCTGTCAGTCATCTGCTTTGTCTTGCTGGGATCAAAGCTTAATTGACTAAACACAGATTTAACAAATTGTAATAATAGGACTAGAGAAGTCAGCGACGATAGTAAGTTATCTTCCTCTCTTTATGGCACTAGATACTGTGTGCAGCAAACGTGGTCTCCTGTCTTCCTCTGACCAAATATAGGCGGAAAATCTGAATATAGTCAAGAGTATGAAGAGCATTAATTGTATTTTGCTGTATGGTATTGTGTTGTATGTAATTGTGGTGCTTACTTAAGCATTGAATTGATTATATTATGGGCAAACATTTGAATTAACCTGCCCAGGGACTACAGATGAAAATGCGCTCATTAGTTAACTCTGGCATATTTACATTGAGGAGGAAACTGAAATGTTGATTAATGTGCACCGTCTCGCGTAAAGAAATAAATGAATTCCTTTGAAAAACAAGAGACAGACATCCTATACGACGACAGCCCAGTGGCACTCCTCTCTAATGATGGAAACGATTACATCTGCTCATCATTATCCAGCACATTAGAACCAAAACATTGTGTTCACCGTCCCAAGCAATCAACGTAAAAAGCCATAGCACACATCATCCACACCCTTATCTCACCTGGACAAAAAAGGGGCTTTGTGAGATTGCTGTTCATTGACCGCAGAGTAGCGTGTTACACATTAGTTCCCTGCAGGCTCGTCACTAAGCTCAAGGATCTCAGATTAAACACCTCACTGAGCATGTGTATCCTTGACTTCCTGACAGGCAGACCCCAGATGGTGAGGGTTAGCGGTTACACATCATTGAAGTCTCATTCTTAATAGCGGAGCACCCCAGGGCTGTGTTTTGAGCCCGCTGCTATATCCCCTGTACACATACCACTTCTGACTAACACCACCAAGGACTCAGCAGTGGTGGGTCTGATCAAATATAACAATACAAACTGTAGGAAATAGAGGATCTGATCTGCAGTGTCAAATCACTACTTCTCCTGAATGTCAGCAAAGCTAATGAGCTGTCAATGGGGCTTTGGGAAAAAAGCAAGAAAGAAGCTATAAAAGAAATACGCTCCAGCTCTGGTATCACGGATGCTATTGCACAGCTTCTTTATGAGGTGCCATTGATGTTTTGAATGAACAGTAACCTCTCTGTGTCATCTCGTCACTCACTTCCGTACCTGCCAGTAGCTCCTTAAAAGGCATGAATGACACTGATGATTCCCTCATAAACAAGTTCAGATAAGATCCCATTCCCAAAGATAATTATAACCAATACGTTTTGGAATTATTCTTCTAGATTCATTAAAATGACGGAAAAGTTGAGTGTGGTCCTGTGTTATAACTGGAAGCTTACCTTGACATAAGCAGGCTGTTTCTCCAGAATGAGATCGGCAACCTTTTTAGATACCTACAGAGAGAGAGAGAGAGGGAGAGACAAGGGGGGGGGGATATTAAACATAGAAAAGACTGAAAGACACAGTTTGATGTTCTTCCAAAATGTCTCCCCACAAAGGCACTTTGTGCAGTGCAATCTTGCCAACAAGGATGAAGCTAGAATAACAATCACATCTCAGCCAAAGCCTTTTAAAAGAGCACCTCCCTAGCACAGTTTCATTTCATTCAATGTCTTTCTCAATAGCATTACTCTTGTTTCTTTCAGAGCAGCCTCTGTTCTCTCTGTTCCTATTGTGTTTTCTAATGTTCTTTGTACCTTTTACCATTTGACACCTGAGTTGAAAATGTAATGATCTTAAACCATGTTCCCTGCATATGGCATCATGTTCAGTACTCAGCTCGCTCACAAGATCAGCATGACCCCCTGTTTAAGAGTTTTGTTGATCGCTGCTTTTTGTTGCGGAAGGAAAAAAGCTTGAATACTCAGTCAATAAAAATTGAGCGAATCCTAGCCTCATACTGAAGGACCATAAAAACACGTCTTGCAGATTGGAGGAGCTCGTTTAATACTTTTCTAAAAAGTTAAAAGATTGTATTAAAACCAGTTATCCAGTGAATCCTCATGTATGTTCAGTCCTTCAGAAAGGGCTTATTTCTAGATTCTCTGGTCTCTAGTGAACTACAAATAATTGATATGTCAATTCAAAAGTGAATGAAGCTCAAATGTTTAAAATCTTACTACAATTAGATGAAGTGGAAAGGATTATGTTGCTCATTAAAATAACAAAAGGATAAACACTTTACTACAGCAGTTGTGATCAACCAGCCTTCTCCCACTCAGTGAGCAATCCCTCCTCCACCTGTTTTACTGTGAAACTATGCACAACAACACAGACATACACCCAGTCGATGTTTTATGAGTTTATTCACAGTAGTGAGGAGGTGTTCGTGTATGCAAAATACAAGGCTACTATTTCATTTCAACATAGTAGCCAACTGGAGACCTTAACAGATGGTGAGTGCAGCTCAATTGAAACTATTACTAGTACATTAAGATAATAATTGTCACAGAGAAAAATAAATTCAGAACTATTCAGAAAAAGAGAAAGACATTGTGAAAGTGAATGCTGGAAAAGCATAAAACATTTGGAATCGTGTTAAAGAAGCCCAAGACACACCCTTAACTATTCACAGATCTGCCTTGATATAAGACCATAACGCTACCTTTTGACAACCCACTCAATGTAACACATTACATTGTTTTAAAGAGAGTGAAAGAGTCTAAACTTATAATGCAAACCCAGCAGTGAGTAACCAAACCCACCTGAGCCACAATGCCAAAGTCATTCGTGCTCTGCTCGCCCTCACATTCACAAACGAAAGCTAATTGTGCAGTGAAGGGTTTGCAAAACAAGCACATGTAATATTTATTAAAAGTTGTCCTTGACTGTCAATAAACTATCATCATCCCAGACACACAGTAAGACAATTACAGCTATTTGTCTCAGTATGGATACAAACAGGGTCATGAAGGGAAGTTATAGGAGAAGACAGATAACGTATACAGACACACACATTGTCTATTATGAATGAAAAAGCTAACGAATACAAGCATTGATAACATGTTTGGACAATTTGCTCATTAGCAAGAAGGCTGCAGACTGTAGATATACATAGGATTATGATACATGTGTCTGAACGAGAAGATGTTTACTCCTTTTTGCAAGTGTTTACAGAGATGTATGAGGCAATTAGTGCTAAATTAGCTAGCACTAATTAGGGATGGTAGCAATAAAAAAGACTCAAGCAACTCAGTAATAGTGAAGGTCAGTCTTTCTGATTAAAAGGGCTGAGACACAACAGTGAGGATTCACTAGTACCAGAGCAATGTAACCCGAATTCCCTTTGAAGCCGCGTGTCTCATTTTCATGATATGATGTCATCTCTGGTGCTCCATTTCCACACACAAACACACACACACACACACAACTTGAAACTTCCTCTGCTCAGCGGGACATCGTTTCAGCCTGACTGAAACACAGGGAGAAATGTGGCAGACAGGCAGGGTGTAGGCAGAAAAATTCCTTATTGCTGCAGGAGGGTTAGTCATCTCTAGCTTTCAAGTTTCATTAAAAATGTAATATGTTCATCAAAGTTAACATCGCCCCCTTTCGACATCTTTGCAGCCTACGTTACAGAGAAGAAAGTCACTGAGGGTTTGGAATGCAAAACGTTGCCATACTTATGATGAGGTGCACCTACAAAAGGAATTCTAAAACTATGATAAAGATTTTGTTACAGCAAATAAGAGTTTAGATGGCAAAAACGTTGAATATAAACCAGTCTGAGTCATTACAAGCATGTGTGTTCATAATAATGAAGGCACTGTTCTGTGAGTTTACATGAGAATTACGGCAACAACACACAACCAGACTGTGCCTCTGGACCTTGACATGTTTTTAGCACTTATGTCTCGCAGCACTAAAACCAAATTGAGTTAGTCCAAAAGTCCAAGTAATCCGAATGTTTGCTATCATCTTGTATCTACAAAAGGGGAAAATGAAGGGGAGGTTGAAGAAGGATGCAGCCGAGTTTGAGTTTGTAACTTATTCCTATTTCAACGTGTTCAAGCATTGTCATTGTTTTCAGTATTTCCATATTAAATAGCCATCTGATTAAAGGCGTGTCTTTTCTTCTTTTATGCTGTATGTGTTCCCTACCAAAGAGCCCCTTCTTTACACTAGATTGAACTTCCTAGGACTCATGATTTCTTTTTGGTCCACAGAAAGTTCATTCTGCCCTACAACAGATGACTCAGAAGAAGGTGGAAAGGAAATGGAGAGGATGATCATGCATCTAGTCACAAAGTTCCTTACAGCAGGAGTTCAGAGAGAGTAGCAGACAGGTACAATCTCATGTCATCAACAATTATCTCATGTACTCAAGCCCTTCCTAACACACAGACAGGCCAACACACACTAACCTCACGCTGCTTTATAGCATCATCATCTGCAGGGAGGAAAGACCCTCACGAAACCCCCATAGTGAGAAACTGAAAGCATTATTATCACTTTTGCAGAAAGCTATGTTCTATTTCACACACTGACGACTAGGACACTCTGCAGGCTGGGATGAAAGTGTGTGTGTATGTGTGTGTTATAGGGGACCCATTATGTGTCCAGTATTGCTGCACCTATATAAATTGCCAAACTACAGAGAAGGTCTTTCCATCAGGAGCAGACAGGAAATCAGCAGTAGTTTGATGAAACGAAACACGTACACAATCATCCACACATTCACAATACCGTAAAGGAAAGTGAAGAGGTACATTTTTAAATGAATTCTGATTATTGTGCGTGAAAATAAATAAAGAAGCAACCCCTTTAGGCTGTACTCTACATTTCTAAGTTTCTCCTGAATCTGGCTTGCAAAAGAATACCATTGATTCATTTGGAAGTCAAGCCTTTTAGAGGTATCCATATGGGAACAAATCAAAGACAAAAATAAATCATGCTTGCTCCCTGTTATGGCAAAAGTGTTGTTTTGAAATAACGTTTGATTATTTTACCATGGAAAAAATATGCCAGGAGGCTCCATGTTTACCAATCCCATAACTCTGATTGATCGATGGGATTGAGAGACCGGAGCACAACGGAAAAACACAAACACAGTATTTTTTTTTTATAAATTGTTCTGTGGTTTATAGTTTACCTGCCTCTGTACTCTACTTTGTGTATACCGTACATTATTTGTATGAAGTTTTCCAATATTTTGTGACAACTATAAGATCATTTAAGTAAAAAAACAATTATAAACAAGTGAAAGTACGATTTTTTTTTAACAAAAGCCTCAAGGTTTTAATTGGACAAACAGGTAGAAGGTTTGCTCATTTAGGCTCAGGATTGCAGGTTTGTATCGACGAGCTTGCTTCAGATTTCCTGCCTGACTAGTACACACTGGACTAATTATCATGGCTGTTCCAGGGAGGTGCCTACCGGCTCGCTGCCAGATAGAGAGACAGAGAGAGAGGACGTGTTATAGTACGATTGTGTACTCTAGGGCTCCATTAATTTGTAGGTCTCACCATGCCACAGGCCTCAGAGTCCGGAGCATTGTCTCAATTAGACAGACAGCTCTGTGAGCAACTACCAAACATGAGGGGACATTTGGGGAAGAGCGGCATGTATGAAAAAGAGGGATAAGAGGAAGCATTGAGGGAATAGCTGAGGCGAGGTACAGGAAATCCAGCTTAGAGCCAAGGGAGCTGTGGAGACAAACAGGTATGTGAAAGTACAGAAGCTTGTCAGGAAGGAAGTGGGCGAAAATCTGCACTGGACTGTGAGAATTGAGGATTCCGACTGGGAAAGGGGCTTTTTTTCTCTACCACTTGTTTCTATAAATAGAATTTGTTGACGGGCGAGCTCTCCAGTCAGAAGCTAAGAGTACCTGACTGACCTCAGCAATACTGCCCTAAGTAAAGGGTCCAGCTGTGGCCGCAGAAGGAAAAGGTACTCAGTGACGTCAGAAGAGTGGGCAATCAGAGTTCAGGGACAAAGAACAATCTATGGCTATTGGATGTAGATGGCCTAAAGTACCTCTGAATGGTGTTCAGAGGGGTTATTGCTCCTGTATAGCCACACACACATACCGTTGACTGGGGTGGAACAGAAGAAGTTGTCACGCAGGCAGACAAGTGTGGGTGACACGAAAATTGTAGGAGCTCTGAGATACATTGCTAGAAATTGTAGACATTTCAAGCTTCTATCAAAATGGAAATGGTCAGGTAAGCCAGTGTGATTTAAAGCAGTACTGTCTTTTTCCTGAGGAGCTACTTGGTGAAGAAAGAACTTTAAACCTCAAGTGTGCATCTAGCTTTGTGACCACAGTGCTCCAAGTAAAGTGGTTACTTTTATACTTTTATAAGCGTTAACTATTAGGATGTGAGCTTGGGTCTGAACTTGCCACCGGTGCACATCTGGTGCCGCACCTTAGCAAATACTGCAGACTGTTTCCGATAGTACTTCTCACGCACTACTTATAACCAGGAAATTATCTTGAAATCCAAAATGAAATTAGCATTACAAAAATCGATTGAATAACAGTTCCAACTCAAGGTCCATTTATTCGAGCTTTTAGAAAATGGTCTAATGGCCCTTATCAAGCACGTCATGTGGAACCTACTTTCCAGTTTGATACAAACCAAATTAACGGGTTTGAACATGTAACCTTGATTGTGTGTGTGTGTGTGTGTGTGGGGGGGGGGGGGGAGGACTTACTGATGTCTGTTGTTTCTTCAGCTTGTCTCTGTACTCCTCCAGCTCCTGCAGGTTTAGCTCAGGGGGTAGTTTCTATAAATCATACACAAATATACAAACATACAACCTTATTGTGTGTAAAATACATCTTCCTACACAGTTGAAAGAACCCGAGGCTTTTGCAAAAACGTCCAAATGTCTATCATTTTCATTGAGTTAAAGTGTCAGACAGAGAATATTCACACTCGGAGCCATAGCAGGGATTTTCTTTACCCTGAGAGGGCTTATCCTCAATTCTAAGCATCTTAATTTTCAAAGATATCTCCCTACCTTTTAAAAAAAAAAAAGCTTAGATGATTTCACTGAGGATTGCATAGCTCCTCCATTAAAGAAACATAACAAAAGATTTTGCTACACCTAACAGTCAGTGCCCGATCATGAGTAAGATTAGTCAAGAAGTTAGAGGATGTTATTCAGTAAACAGCAAACCAACTATGCTAAGCGAAGAAGATATTACAAATCCACGGGCCAGAGGATGATAGGTAATTACTTTCCCCTTGACTGAGAGTCTCATTTCAGATGGTGTAGTAATACCAAGATAAATCTAATGAGATTTCACACCCTTTCTCTGTCGAGCGGATGCAATCCATCAATCCGCACGTCATTGGTGCGCATGCGGCTCGACAGAAGGGTAAGAAACATCAGGTGAATGGAGCTTCAACTCTGCCAGTCAGACACGCATCAAAGCGCACGGGGCGATAGTCATTCATATTACAAATGCAATATTGGTTATCTGAATAACTTTAATGGGGTTGGTTGTATGGAGTCATTATTATTTTATGGAGGGAGGCGTGGGAAATTGGGAGTGGGGCTCATTCAGTCAATAACGGACGTGCTCTCTGGTTCATACAAAGAATATCTGACCTCCAGTTCGTGCTGCACCATGTCGAAGGAGTCGTTTGAGTAGTACAGCTCCTCGATGCTGTCGATCATCTCCTGCTCCGCCTGGGGGTCGATGGGCTGCTCCCTCACCTCCCGCAACTCCTCCTGACAGAGGGGGACAAATAGAGAAGTGATTAAAAGCTGTCCTTGAAGTAAGCACTTTAAAAAGTTCCAGACACACTGGGAGACAAACAGAAAAGCGTCCAAAGAACAGAGATTTAAATCATCTTGTAAGTGATGAAAACAACAAAAACAAAGTCTCTGATAAGACATTAACATAAATAACATCAAAACACAGTTAAAGGGTAATGCAAGGGGGAAATGCCATGGGAAAGAACAATAAAGGGAATGGAGATAGGATTAAAGGAAAAGGAGGTACAGAGGAGTTTAAGGACACGGGCAAGGGTGAAGGACGGAGTGGAAGGAGGACAGAATAAAAATGAGGTAAAGAACAAGGAGAGGGAAAGAGGAGATGTGTAGTGGGAAAAAAGAAAAGTGGTAATCGCATAGTTTCGGATTGCAGCTTGTTTCGTTTAAAGCTGTCATGGGGGTTGGAAGGAAGCCTTGAGAGAAAATACAAGAAGAAAGGAATGACCGAAAAATACAACGGGGATTCCCCCCAGCATCTCTGGGAGACATCAGAGCCTCATTGATTAACATGATGTGCATCCGCCGAGGCTTATATCTGCAGCGAGTCTTTTAGATGAAGGTTTTTAAGCCGGCATTCCCAAGGAGCCCAGATCTATATAGACATTTTATTTCTCGGGATAAACCCCTTGAGATGCACCATCTCGTTTTCAAGGGGGTCCCGATAACAAGTCGAGTCACGGGTCGATAACAAAAGTGGTGGAATGACCGTGTTAGCACAATAGGAAAAATAGAAGTGTCCCAAGTCGATACATATTTACTCTAAGTAAATCCAAACAATGGAATAAACAATGTAGTGTACGTGGCAGTGCATTATATTTAAATAAATACAGAAATGACCAAATATTAAGTAAGTAATGGGGAATGTAATTAGGATTCAGGGATTATAAATAAATGTGGCAAAATGTCTAAAAGTTGCTAAAATATTTCAGTCTTCAACCAACCAACCAAGCAGCAATGCCATCTATACATTAGTGTTGCTAGCATAGCTACAAATATTACAAATATCTTAGTATTATATTAAATCCAACACAAAGAGACCATCTCATCATATGGGGGTAGAAATCCTTTATTTCCAACAGAACATCAAAGCACAATAGCACTAAAAATAGACTGTTGGCTTGGGAAGGAGGTGAACCAGGATGGATGTGGAATTAAAGGATTAATGCTATATACGCCCACTATATGCATTCACAGTAGATCAAATAGAGATATATAGAAATCACTATCAAAGATCTGCACAAATCATTTTAATTTGGACTTCATGAGATATCAGTCATTGATAAAAAAAAACCTTGTTCACAGCTGCCTAGCCACACATATTTTCCCCATCTACTATCAGCAAGAAGCGTGCAGCTAGGCGGTGATGAAGTGTGCCACCATGTAACTGAATCTCTCTCCGTGGGTGAGAGTGTGTCTGGCTGAGAGACATTTTATGAGGTCGCTGCTGTGAGTCAATTTAACGTTCGCACTACGCTGTAAAATATAGACCGATATCAATCAATTACACAAACAGAATCACTTTTATATACATTTTATACCAGGCAATTGGGAGGTGTGTGTGTGTGTGTGTGTGTGTGTGTGTGTGTGTGTGTGTGTGTGTGTGTGTGTGTGTGTGTGTGTGTGTGTGTGTGTGTGTGTGTGTGTGTGTGTGTGTGTGTGTGTGTGTGTGTGTGTGTGTGTGTGTGTGTGTGTGGCCACGTTTGAATCAGGTAAAGGAGTGAGCAAAAGCCCCGGGGGAAATGTGTGGGTGAGTGTGTGAGATTGGAAAGGAGGGGTAGAGGTAGGAGATCACGCTCTGCCATCAGAAGGGTGGGTGGGAACTCAGCTCAAATGAGAAGGGAGGTAGAGCGGGGAGGGGGGGGGTGAGCTGGATGACTCATTGGTAAAGAAAGTTAGAGGGAAAAGAAAAAGAGAGCGGAATGAGTGAAACAAAGGACAATGATGTGAAGCCTCTCCAGTGTGGTTAGAGCAATTCACCCCCCCTGTGTCAGGCTTTTCTCAAGTCTCCCACCTGCAGAGACGTGCAAAACTCCACACAACTTAAAGTGAATGACTCCTTGAGAGGCTACCTCGGGTTAAATAATCCCCTTTCCTCACCTGGAGCTGCGTGGGCAGGAAACTAAACAGACGCCCCTGTGCCCCCCATGTGAAACCCAACACCAGCTGCTGTGAGGCTTTGATCACATTTCACTTTGAAGGATGAGGGACAAACAAATCACCCTCCGACCTCCTCTGCAGATTAATGAAACTCTCGTCTCGTTGCATGAAATTAGAAATCTATTTGCATGGAAACGTGCGGGAGGTTTAACAAGCGTTATCAAAGAATTAAAGCAGACATGATTGAATGTGGAAAATCAAGCAAAACAAAAAGGTGCTCAACAACAAAGGGCCTGATGAAATAATAAACAAAAGGTGGACACTAGAGAAAAGACAGAGGGGTGACGAGACTGAGCGCGGGGCTAATTAGTTCCACTAAGATATCATTTAGTAGATGAACAAATCAAAACCTCCTTATTGTTATCAGCGCTGGCTGTATATCCCTATCTGATTAACTCAGTTGTCATGCAGTTGTTTTGTTACATGAGGACCTTGGAGGCACAATTAGAGAAAAACTCAAACCTGATTGCGTCATTTGAGGGCATGAGAAGTGTCATTGTGTTCCCCCTAACGATAGCCTGTGTGAATTAATAACAGGTTATCAAACACGCCCTCCTCAAAGCATCCGCTCATCTTCAGTTATATTTATTGCACACTGGAGGCACTCAGCCAATCATATTCATCCTAAAATAGAAGGAATCACGACTATTCTAAGCAGGCGATGCACTCAACCTGTGTAGATTAGTAGATTATAAACTGATGGTGACCCCTGCTGGTGGGAAATGGTAACTGCATGTACCTCCAGGACTAAGAGTTTTCTAGATTGATGAACTACAGTTTGCCTCGGGGAAACTTAAGTTAAATAAAACAATTTTAAGCTTCACAAAGATATTATGTACCAGCTTGTTCTGGAGATTCACTAAACCTGTATCACACTTCTCAATCCTATTAGAGTACACTTGAAAGTAGAAATATTAGGAATATGTTGAAATTATTGTTGATTTGAGAACTGTTTTAACATACATTATGAGATAAAAATAGAGACGGATAGGTTGGAAAAGGTTACGAGACTCAGCACACCAAAATACCTGCACAGAAAATCCTTATAACTGACTCACAGAGAGACAGCCGCTTTGAAAAAGATAAGGATAGGAGAGAAGAAAGATATGTGTTTGTTTTAGTCAACCTACAAAGCAGCTTACATCAGGAACCGAGAGACATCAAAAGCATGAAGGTGATCAAAATAGTTTGGAGCCATTTGGAGTCATAAATGGTAAGGGAAATCAAAATCTGCCAATGTTGTGATTTATAAAAAGGGGTTATTTGGAGAACATGAACCGACACAAATGACTTTTTATCTAGCTTTACTTTCTATAATGTACAAGTCTATCTAAACTGAAAGTATTATTTAGGAGCCAAATCATTAATGGTTATGAACAGGACCTGTAAAATCCCATTTGTTGTTATTTCTTGTAATTGTAAAAGTAATTTCTTTCTGATTGTTTTGTAAAAAAACAAAAAGCAAACAAATTAACAAGACAAACATGTCGCTGATGACGATGACCTAATATTTTATTCATAAGAAAAATATATGCTAGAGGGGGTAGGACCAGAAACGTTTTTTTTAAGCTTCTTCTTGCCCCTGTTGAACATGACAGAGACTATTTGAGAATTATTGTTTTTTTTTTCTTTTTTATTATTTGTTTTTTTTGTACTTTGTTATAATTATTAATTTGAGTGAGGAAAAAAAAGGAAAAAAAGAAAATATATATATATATTATTGTTGTATGTTTTTGTTTCTGACATGTTCAATAAATTGACTAAAAAAAAAAATATGGTTGAGATTTTATCACATTAGGGTGGTGGTGGCGAAGTCGATAGGGACTTGGCTTGGCAACTGGAATGTCACCAGTTCAAGTCCCGGCAAGACCAAGTGCTACCGAGGTGTCCCTGAGCAAGGCACCGTTCCCTACACTGCTCCCCGGGCGCCATTCAAAATGGCAGCACACTGCTCCTAACACTAGGATGGGTCAAATGCAGAGAAACAATTTCCCCACGGGGATTAATAAAGTATATCAAAACATTTTAAAAACATCTCGGCCCAATGGGCTTTTTTTGTGACTTTTTTCAAGTTTAGGTAATTAACATGTTTAGTGGCAACACAAAGGGGATCAGATTTATTTGAGAGAATGGTCTCCCCTCAGGGTAAACTGCAGAGCCTTACATCTGTGTATGGAGCCAAATCAAATGTTTCACCCCGGCAGCTATGTGTGAATGCATGGCATTACAAAAACCACATTAGACATTTGTACCAGTCTTCTAAAATGAATTCACTTCTGTAATCCCCTCAAGAGGGAAAACAATACAATGAATTCACAAAAAAGGCCTGTAGAAGATGACAGATGTTTTCGCGAAGCAGCAGAAACTAAACCACTTTAACAGATGCACGAACAGAAACTGAGTGCCATGAAATGATGTAATATATCTGTGATAAATTAAACGTACAGAAATATACCAGGAACGAAAGCTTGGGGTAATGATTCTGGCGCTCAATGGAGAATCCCATTTGTAATTGTGTCATGCAGCATCGAAGATTAGACATCGAATAGGACTGGTACCAAACCCATGACGTTAACTCTATTATACACTGTACTCTATTATTTCGGGGGGAAGGTTATTAGTACCCTGGCAAAATATGCAGGGGTACAATTCCCATTGGACCCTGCTGTACACCCTTTCCCTTGATACAGCGCACGCACATTTCATCTGGTCAACCTGACGACAGCTGAGAAAAGCGTTGGAAACTTCCTGATAATATTTCAAGCATTTCTGGTTTCAGAGCGTTTAGGACATTCCCTCATAATCAGCAAGAGTAAGAAAAAAATGCAAAATAAGACACAATGAGGACTTCTGTCTAACTTTCAAGACCTATTACCTAAATAAAAACATCTGTCTGAGTAAGCATTGGTTTGTGGAGGGGAAACTGGTGGATAGGGTTAGGGTTAGAGGGTTAGGGTTAGGGGTTAGGGTTAGGTAACTGGGTTAGATAATCAAAATGTTATTGGCCACCTGTTTGATTGTGCTGCGATAGAAACAGGTGCAATGCATCATGTGACTGCAACCGAGCAAAAATTAGTCGCCACTTCCTGTTATAGATAACAGCAAACCAAGTTAGGTACAGAATCTGTGGTCAAGACACCATTAGAGCAAAAATGATTAATCTTTTAACTGATTAGCCACCTGACTTGATACGTGACTTGATACTTGATATGTCAGTGGGATGTGAATTGAAGATCTTAAATATACAACTACAGGCTAACTACAGATCGTTTTTTCCCTGCGTATCACTCAAACGCCGTCCACGTCATTTCTAAATAATGACATGACGGCATCAATTCTCCATCATCCCCCGCGTCAACCCTCCCCCTACAGTGAGCCAGATGTTGCTGTCACCTCCAGTAGGATGATAAACGACGTGAATCATGGCTAATATGGTTGGAAACACACGACTGGCACTGAGCATCTGAGTATCAGATTGAGTTTAATAATGACACACACACACAGTCAAGCACCTTGGCTTCACTCTCCTACACAGAGCAGTGTGTTAAGTAATGCAGTGTTCCACGGCCATGGCATATGAGAGGATTATTCGCCTTTAATCAAAAAGGGAGGGAGGTTTCGGTGTATACAAAGCCTGTGTTTGGCTCCCATTTCATTTTCCTGAAAGCTGGTGCCCTGGAGCAAAGTAAATAAAGACACGGCATAATACCGTGAAATCATAAGACCCGTGTTTTGGCTGAACACACAAAAGGCAGGTGTTTGCAGTACACACAGGGGACTTAATTCATCTGTGATATACAGAGGTAGGCTGAGGTGCATATAATCCTCATATTCGTACTTAGTCTCCCCCCCATTATGCTGTCTACTACCTCATATAGCATAAGCCAAACAGAGCAGGTATAATAAGACTAACAGCAATTCTGCAGGGAGCTATGATGCCAGCATGAACAAAGGTGAATATTTTAGGCCTAAAACCAGGGTGTTTGATGTCTGCAAATCCAGTTTGGCCACATCACCCGACGCCAATCTCAAAGCCTGGGGGGCGACATGCATCCAATGAAAAGAAAGGAATTCTTTGCTTTCCTTCAGGCTCTGATTACACCTGGAGAATAAATGACTGCTTATCTTATCTTGATCAAGACATTGAGGCCCCGGCCACACGAGGACGAAAACGGCTAAACGCATAGGATTAACACAAAAGCAATCGCAAAAAAGCTTCCGTGCACACGCAATATTCACCGGATAGTGTCCGAGAGTCAGTCTAAAACGCAAATATATTCACCCAAATATATATTATATAAACACTGAAAAACATAAAATCTTCATATTTAGAGGCTTGCGTTAATGATTAATCAATTAACAAAGAAATTGCTGATTTTGGTCCTGCAGATGGACAAATTATCGGAATATTTAACAACAATATTATTTACAAATTGCATATTGTCTACACACCAACATGATCAAATTAACTGACTGTCCGGCAGTGGCTCAGTCAGTAGGGGCTTGGACTGTGAGCCATAGGGTCGCTGGTCCAAGTCCCCGACCAGACCTAAAATATGGAGTGTGGACTGCTACTTGGAGAGGTCCCAGTTCACCTCCTGCCCTGCCGTGGTGCCCTTGAGCAAGGCACCGGACATCTCCTATTGCTCCCTGGGCGCTGTACAATAGCTGCCCACTGCTCCTAGTACTAGACTCCTGGTACTAGGATGGGTTAAAAGCAGAGAACACATTTCACTGTGTGAGCTGTGTGCTCTGCATGTGTGACTATTAAAGAGGGTTTCATCCCTCCGATTCTATATATCTATCTATATTGACTGTTTATTTGGACAATAACACTTAGCACAAGCCCTATCTTTGACCAAAATAAAGATTGTTGTGTAAAAGCCTTTAAAGATAAACTATATATACTGCCCTGCATTTTCCTTTCCTCATGAAAATATTTTATAACAAATTGAAAAGGAATTTCTCTGAACTCGTTCAGCTTCTTCTTTCGCAACTCTCATAGATGAATTACCAGAAAAGCACTTCCTTTTAGTCTTATCTTTTCAACCTAAAAAGAACATTCTATAATGGTACATCAGCAAAGCACACCACGAAGAAAGTTCCACTCACGTTAGGACCAAACCACAACCACAATCAAACTATGTCAACCTTTAAAAGCCAAGTCTTTAGAAGGAGATAAATTAAACGTCTGGTTGAATCGACCTAGCGCATATCACCCAGCACTGTGAATAAATAGAGTTGGTCACCTTCCAAATTGTACTCCACATTAACCCAAGGTCATCACTAAAAGACAAACTCAAAGCAAAGCCAACAACAAGCAGCAGTGCATTGAGGAGTAAGTGACTCTACATTGTATAGAGCCACTCTGCAGGTTCACTCTGTCTCATCTTGGCAAATTGAATCTGTACAAGTGGATAATGAGAAATGCTTTCTACATCCAAGCATGACTGATTGCATTTTAAAACACTTGCCATGCCAAAATGCTAGAACACTATTGCAGCAGAACATATTTCACACTACTAGTGTAAAGATTGATGTGAAGTGTGTACTAAAGTGATATAAATGGGAGCCATCATTCTCTTTACATTACTGTCTGGAAAACCCTTTAAGTGTGATGTAACTGATGTCATTTGCAGGAAGCAGCTCCGTGTAATACAGTGCAAGTGTGGTCCGAGTCTAAAGCTGTCCTGACACATTCAATCCTGTTGTATTACTACGATCCATATAACTGCTTCTGTGTTAGATGGACTTGGCTTCTATAAATACTTAGTCAAGTTAACCAATATAGTAACTTCATACACACAGATGACAGTAAAACCTTTTTTTTAAATAAGCAGATTTAGTTGATTTTCACAGACAGACAGACGGACGGACAGACGGACGGACAGATAGACAGACAGGCGGACAGACAAACAGACAGACGGACTGACAGACAGACAGGCGGACAGACTGACAGACAGACAGGCGGACAGACAAACAGACAGACAGACACACGGACGGACAGACGGACAGACGGACGGACAGACGGACGGCCGGACAGACGGACGGCCGGACGGACGGACAGACAGACGGACGGACAGACGGACGGACAGACGGACGGACTGACAGACAGGCGGACAGACAAACAGACAGACACACGGACAGACACACGGACAGACGGACGGACGGACAGACGGACAGATGGAGAGACGTACAGACGGACGGACGGACGGACAGACGGACAGACAGATAGACAGAGGTCTGGGACAATATTAATTCCATTCAATGGAACTAATCTTGATGAAATCATAAATCGAAATATGTGATAAACATTTATGTTGTTTAATCCATAATAGCGAGGACATAACAATTTATCAGAAAATCTGATGTAAATTATTCTGAAGGAATATTATTTGAAGACTGCAGTTATGTTTTTCCAACAGATCTTACATTGCTCTATAGTTTTACTTGAACTTTAATGTTTAAAGATTCGTAATAAAATTAGAATTTGTCAAGCATTTAGGTAAAATTGTTTCATACCTGTTTATTTTACATAGACTTCTGATTTGTTGACCTACCAGTAAGGATACTATATCATAGTAAATATTGCAATATCCAGATGTTAAATTACCTGTATCATGACAGAAGATGTTGGCCTTGTTATCAACCCTGGATATAGCACATCTGTCACACACTATCTATCTACTACCAGCGATCTACTTTTAAACACTTGAACATATCCTTACTTGGGGTCAATATTTCTTAGGATGACAGATTTTACATTAAATAGATGTTAAGATTTTGCTGATTTTGTATGTGTATTGAAACAAATAAAGGAGCAGCAGCATATGTTCCAGTTGTCAACAAAACAAGTGAATGTTTATGTGCAGCTCAAATGCATCGACCACAACAACAAAAACAGAGCTACAGCTTCAGGCATGTCTTGAGGTTTACCTTGCTGGGGATCCTCAGGTTCTCCACAGGACTCAGGTCTGCCATGCTTTCCTGGGGACTTTTCAGGCCCTGTCAAAGTAAGAGTCACAGTTGGGGTTCAAACAGCTCTAAAAAGTCAAGTACAATATACAGTGTAATGCTTCCTGTTGTCATATAACGTGCTATTCATAATCACAATACTGCGCACAGCAAAATGTGGAACCAGTGTGCAGATTTCTGAAAGCGATATGCTGTGTTGTGTAGTGCTGAACAAACGAGTCTAACATTACTGCAGTGCAAACTGAGAACTTCCCTAACCGCCCAGTTTCAACTGTTGTGCCCTCTTGCAGTGCTTTTCTAATAGTAAAATCTAGGGTATAACTACCAATACGCCTCTATGTTCTCCATGTGGGGTAAATAATTCGTATATGTTGTGTAGCGGTTAAAAACGCTGCTGTTATTCGGGCTGAATGTGCCCTTTATTGAGCCACAAGCTGAGCTGTCAAATTAGCCAGTTAGCTTCGCTAGCTGTCATGCTAGCTACCTGCAGCTGTCAGAGACTAACTGCCAGCGGCTCGGCTTCCGTACACCTGCTTTGCTTACCTGTCGGGCCATGAGAGACTTGATCTTCTGCATCGTAAGTCCAACTTTGGTCAGGGGGGGGAATAAATGTGCAAAGTTACAGTTGTGTTTTGTTGTCACCGATGCGCCTCCATCACTACGAGAGAGAAGCCATAGTTGACTGTCACGTGACTGGTTTAGCAGGAAACGGAAGATTACAAAGCATGCTGGGAAATGTAGTTTTCACATCAGGAGGTGTGGAGTGACCTAAATTGTCAGAATATCACCTGTCTGTGTTTGATTCATTGAAAATATGTGTTGTTCTGAAGGAAAACAATATTCAAAAGTGATGTAAACATTTTTTTATACATTTATACATGATATGGTACATGTACTGCTGCCTTACACCACTGGATGGTAGTAACTTAACATTGAAGAATAGACTGTACTGGACAGCAATGTTTATTTTTTCTTCCTTGAAAAATATAATTTGACTTCTCTCTCTTTCAGTCACCTGTAGGTTTCAGGTGAAGGTTTTGACATGAAAGAGAAGACAAAACACCAGTGTAAACATTCAAATAAATGTCTGTGGGTACTGGTATGGTGCATGCCGAGAACTATTTTACATGTAGGTTATTGATTAACACTGACATGGACCATCTGCATAATTAGCACATTTTTGAATGAAGTACTTTTAATGTTATACTTCCATAACTGTCTGTAGCTTTTAGTACATGACTCTGTTGTTGATATAAGCTACTGTTATCAAAAACAGGTTATGGTTCACAATTTATAACTTTGTTTTATAGTATTTAATATGTGGCTGATTTATTTGGCAAACAACATGTCCTTATGTCATCATGTCAGGTCTACCATGACTCAGTGTCATGTAGCTCCATCTCTGCCAAGTAATTACATGGCTCTGCATTGTGAACGGTTCAGAATAATTACAAAAACGGTGCATGCCGACCCATTTAGCCTGTTTTGTAATTGCCCCCTTTAGAGTTATTTTGAGCAGCATTTGGTTAAAAGCAGGCAGCATGCAGCAGACAGCAGGCATGGTGAGTGATTGTTCCTGGTTAATGATGCCTCAGGATATTTCCCAGTCAAATGAAGGTGAGGTCGCTCTCCTTATGTGAATTTACTCCACTGTTGTTTGTTAGGCACTCATCCACAGTGTGGAGCCGCCCTTAAAGCATACACTGAGACGGAACAGATGGCAGCCCCTACCCGGAGATGCAGGGCACACTCAGTTGGTCAGATTATAATTAGGATAAAATCATTAAACTGCTTTTTGTTTTACCTTGAAGCATCATGAAAAGTAGCTTTTGACTCAATTCAAGGTTCAGATATTGACCATTGATTGTCCTTAAGTAGTCAATAAAGTAATATTAGTGTTCAGAGGAATACAGAGACGTCATTTTATTTTTCTCTAACTGTTCAACCAACAAAATACCGGAAGTCACGTTTAATCCGAGAATCCAGCTATTTGTGCTTTCCCAAATAATGTTTTTGGATTCAGGTATATCCCTTCTTGTGTTATCATTTGTGTTTTGTATCCTGTACATTAGAAATATCATGTCATTTATATGGGAAATCCCCTTAAATTCACAAGATTTATTCAGAAACATAACACCATACGGCAAATCATTCTAAATGTTTCCATACTATATTGACCACAGGGGAATTTTGAACATTTTGAATGGAAGTGCAGATGTGACACTAGGGGACAAATGATTGTTTAAACTGAATCAGCTGAAAGTAGACTGTTGCATATATTCAAGATAGGGAAAATTACATTGTCTAAATTCATTTAAATATGACTTCTGACCACATATTCTTCAGAAATACCTTTGTGTCTGGTCTTTATCTCTTTCCTCCTCATGTCTTTCTCTCAATAATCACAGAGACAAGCAAGCCCACGGTTTTTTCCTCTTGATAAGGTGTTAGCAGGAGCAGGTGGAGGGCACTCTGCCACATGCTGAACCATCCTTCTGTTGCTGCCTGTCTCCATATTACAGCAGGTACACAGCATACCAATACACCAACACTGAGATAAACAAGCACTCTGCAGCAATTTGGAGACAACAAATACAGCTCAAACACTTGAGAGAAGAGAGATCACAGCCAAGATATCAGACAAAGATTGATTTTGAGGCAGCACAACAACTGACATCTTTGCTGGCTTCAGCTATATATTTTTTGTTTTTTTCTCAGGATCTGTGATGAGAAAGTGTTCATTTCAAGCCCAGACGGCTTCTGCCATTATATGAAAAGAGATGATAAAGAAGTGTAATATGAATGCAAAAGCTGCAGAATGAAGAGGGTTTGTCATGTTAAAAAACACAGAGAATAGTTAACCATTAGATATTTAATAAAGTACAAAACAACATGTGAATGCAAACTGTACAATAATTTATGGATCATTCATTCTTTTCCTTGAGTCAGCATTTTCAATATATCCAGGTTGAGCCGAAAAATGCTACATTGTGGAAACAGGGTTAAGTCTTTCTATGGGAATAAATAGATTGGAGCAAATATAATAATATGTATAAAGAATCTGCAGGATAATCCATGTACAATATTTACAAAACCTTAATATATTTCAAACAAGAAAATGCATTCATTATAACACTCTCATTGGGATATTAAATTAGGAAGATATTATTGAAATGACAAATAAAACCTTAGTATTTATAAATTAAACATATAAATAGTTTGGGTACCTTGGAGGTACCTCTGAAGATATTCAACTAACTCGCTTGGCTTAATATGACTTAAGTATATTCAATTTTGAATAAAAAACAGTTCAAACTTCAGTTATACTTTCACATAAAAAAGACATAATTTCAAGGCATACTTACACTATACATCTCACAATAATGTCAGCAAAAGTCATTTAACTTCTGTCCCAAACTCTGGACAGAAACAGTGCATGATCAAGTTGTGTATTGACACAAGTCTCCTTCATCCCTTGTGCAAAACAACCTGCCACCAAAACCGGAGTTTCAGGCTTTGATAACAGAGAATAAAGCTACACGATAAGTCTTCAAGTGAAATGAGTTTCGTATCAACTGCTGCTTATTCCAGCAAACTGTGACTGGGTGTTTCAGGAACGTGTCTGATCACATCGTAGATGGTGGTGTGCATATCCTGAACGGACTCAAGGCGAGCCAGAGATCTGCACGAGGCCTGCAGGATGGTTGCATAGGGAAATGTTAAGTACACACAACCTTTGAACAAAAGTTAAGGCTTAAAAACGTGCTGCACACTGAAGCCATGTTGATGTTAAATTACCTGTGCAGATTCCATTTTCCCAGGTACAGAGACAAACTCGTAGATGCCAAAGTCTTCTGTTGCATCTTCATGTCCTGTTGAGACAAAGGTTTTCATGTCAGACCAATGCATTAGCATCTATTTTAAGTCAAACATTACAGTAACATTTGTATAATTGCACTATAAAACTGCTTTTCAGTTTAAATCAATGAGACATCGTGACCTTGTTTACTTTACTGCTATAAATAATCCTGTGTTTAGCAATGACTTTCATTTCAAAAGAAAAACTAAAGCCATTCTCATCCATTCACCTGAAACATATGATGTCAAATATGTACATATATGTAAACCTGACATAGGCTTACTCAAATTGTTGTTTTTCTTATCATTGTTTTATTTGTATGTAAAAAAAATGGTTAGGGTTATTGTGATTGTTTTAGTTTTATGTATGCACCAAAAACACCAAGACAAATTCATTGTATGTGTTAACCTATAAACCTGTTTCTGATTCTGATACACATGTGATAATAACAACCAACAGCTTACCTGAACGATGTGGTCGTTTCTGCTCTGAAAGCGGTCTGCCAAAAACAAGAAATGTTAGTTAGCCTAGACTAAACAATACTATTTAAATTGTCTATATTCATTTTATATTCAAGACTCTTACCTGTTGTATATGCTCATGAGAACTGTTGATAATAGAGAGAAATAATTATTCACAAATAGAAAACATTTGAAATGTTTATAACCATAACCTTGACTTATCTTAAAAGCATTAAGACAAGCCGATTTCAAAAGTGGACCATGCAAAATAGGTTTTAAGACTCACTACTAAAACAACCTTTGTCAATGCGGCAAACTAAGAAATTGTCCTACCTCTCTTAGGACTGCAGGTTCTCTTGAGGAAGAACAGCAGCATGCAGCTGATGATGAACAAAGAGCTAACGACGACGGCTGCAAAAGGGGGAAAATTGCTTCCTTCTTGGATATGCTTCTCTTTCCCTGTAGACAAATACAGGAAGAACAATTAGTTAGGTTAGTTGGACACACTCATGTTCCCCAGAAGTTGAGGTTGGTGTCACCATGAGGTCTAATGGTTTGAAAAATATTGACTGTCAGAAGGATTGATTTAACATTTGGTAGTAATATTCTAGACCTCTACCCTAGAAGATACATTTCAATAGCTGGAGATAACCTTTCTTCTAGTACCATCTTAAGGTTACCATTCTGGATTTTCCACATCACCCTAGTCCTTTTTGTTTTGATATACAGGTACCTCCAAAAACTAAGATATTTCCATCGGCCTTAGCTGTACATTGCTAATTAGCTAATATTAGCATGCTATAGGCTAAATTGAGCATGTTAGCATTTAGCTTAAAGGGGACCTATCATGAAAAATGCACATTTGTACGTCTTTTATACATGAATATGTGTCCCCGGTGTGTCAGGGAACTCACCAAGTGTCAGAAAACACAACCCTCTCTCTTTTGCTCCATACCCAAATCTCTAAAAACGGGGCTGCAACCAGAGATGGGGTCGTTACTAAAAAAATGTAATATATTACTTTTTAAAAAGTAATATATTACACTACTTCGTTACTCTCTACATAAAGTAACTCGTTACTTTACTCGTTACTTTACTCGCCGAGCACGTACGAACTGCGCATGCGTGAGTGGCAATAACTCTCCTTACCAGCAGGCGGCGGTAGTGTGTATTCGTCATTCAAAACAGGCAACAACCGGAAGACAGAGAAGAAGAACTACGTGATATAAACAAACAACAAATAGCGTGTGCGTTAGCTTCACCTTAGCATGTGTTCTTTGCAGGTGTTTGTTGAGGTTTGACGTGGTGTTTACAGCAGTGGATATCAGCTTCTGGCCTGGACACAGTTTGCACCTCACCGTCACATTCCTCTCTATTATTCGGACGAACTCAAAATAATAGGCATACCTGCTCCACCCCTCGAAAGTTATCGCTGACTCAGCCATGTTTATGCAGCACTGCACGTGGAGATGTGGACGCGCAAATCGCGCAGATTACGTATATAAACCTGCGGCGGAAACCCCTCTTGTCTGTCAGTGTGATTATGACTAATTTTAGTAAGTAACGAAGTAACGCGTATTGGGGCAATGTTAGTAACTGTAGTGTGATTACTGAATTATAAAAGTTGCGCGTTACACTACTCCGTTACCGACAAAAGTAATATTATTACAGTAACGCGTTATACCCATAGACTGTATATATGTTACACCCAACTCTGGCTGCAACGGATCTGATACAGATTTGAAATATCTCTGACGTCAGAAACAAGTGGGCAACTCTCCACCTATCAGGGGAATGAGAGGTTGCCGTGGCATGGTAACAGCATGGTAACATGACGCTCGTGCCTCGCCCCCCTCCTTTGCAGGGGGGCGTGGTCAGCTGCAGCTCATTTGCCACAGAATCAGCCCTTGCAAAAACAGGGCTGGAATACAGCAAATAGAGCGAAATGAGGCATGGCTAAAATGCATGATCTGTTTGGTATTTTGAAATATATATATATATATTATATAGGTATGGCCCTACAATATATTATTCAAATATAGCATGATAGGTCCACTTTAAAGCAGTGTCCGAAAAAGGCCATGTTCTTTGCTAGCATGACTAGTCTTATTTAAAGTGAAGGGATCAGAGGCTTCTTTGGTAATGTTCATAAAAGATTTTGATGTCAATAAAAATGGATGCTGTTAGGACCTCTATTGACTCAATAATCACATTTTAAAATCCTAGCCATTATCAACAGTAACTATTATGAGACATTCCCAGTATCACCACGACAACATATCAATGTCGCATTCGGCACACAGAAACTACACATGCTATAAAAGTTAGTCAACAAATACAACAGCTGTTATCCACTGTTGACTTTCCCAGCCACTGAACTTTAATACAGGCTGCAAGCGCTGAAACCTAGCAACAGAGATAAAAAGCCAGTTTCATTATATATTTCATGCTACAGTATATCCATAACTTGGTTTCACTTCACCTGTTGTGCAAACACGGCTTTAACTACAGTTTTTTTATCCATTTACACGTTTCCCAAGCTGCTGTTTGTCATTGTCAACATATATCTGTCATAGCTAATAAACCTCTTCTGCTTTTGGCATGACACACTGTTTACAGAGCGTTTATCTCAAAGGATTCCCAAAATCCACCCACGCTCTGCTCTCTCCTGCCATGTTCCGCCCTCAACCCACCTGCTAGGTATTTGGCCACCACCAGAGTGAACTGGGTCTCGTCCTGCTTCTGCGTCACGTTGTTGAAGGCGCGGCACAGGTACTCTTCAGCCTGGGCCAATTTATAGGAGCGCACCTCCAGCCGCGGGCCCTCATAGATAACCTGGGTGGCATTGCGGCTCTTAGAGATCCAAACGTAGCTGTTGGGTGGGTTGGAGTCAGCCTGGCATTCAAAGAAGACCAGCTCTCCGGGGTTGATGGTGAACACTTCCCCTGTCCGCAGTCCCTGGTCTGAGTTCACCTCCAGGTTGTAGGGACCATCTGCAAAAGCAAGAGTGGGTCAGGGGAAACATTACTTCTCTAGGAATTTATTGTGTTTCATTAGGCAGCATCAGCTAAAAGATGTTTCAAATACAAGGTCATAGGTTTGGTCCACAGTCTAGTTGAAAAAGTATTGCCAGGGATATGAAAGAGGGGTGATGCCCTTAAACAAGAACAGGTCATTTCTTTATAAGAGGCACCTTTTTCAGTGTGTGTAAGCAGATTTTAAGGATTTGTTAATGGTGACAACAGAGGTGTCTCCCAACTTGTTTAGAGTCTGATAGGTTTAACTGTTACATTGCATTACTTATTATGTGTTGCATCTAACGTAAATCAAACTGTTACTTTTTTAGTGACATCCATCAGCTTAAATTGGTTAAGTCACACATTACAATGAATATAAATAGAATACACTTAACATGAAGAGGTATTTTAACTGAAAGCTGTGTATCTACTTTTTCCAGAATGCTTCTGAATGCTAACACAAACATGCTCTTTTTATGCAAGCAGAAATGATGAAAATGCCAGATTTACTTGCATTTCTCATTTCTGTTTTAGCACACAGACTGACACATGAACTGCATCCTTCTGTAATCACAATATTACAAAAATAATCAGCTTTGTGAAAAGTAAAACAAATTCAAATGAATTCACTGAATGATTATACGTGTGTTCTTCCTGGTAGTAACCTCAGACTCACAAAACCAGGTTTATCAGTTGGGTGGACTACGTGCTTTATGGTGGAAGAGAGGAGCTCTGTGAGATAAGTCTGCCCCCATGCAAATACCCATAACAGACATTCAGTTGTCAGAAAGACTGATATTGCAGATATTTACATATGACCTAATACAGTGTAAAGGGAGAGCAAAAAACATGATGTATTCTGCAATTTGTATTGGTAAAGGTCTTTGCTAGTACAACCAGTGGCCAAATGTCTTTTAAATAAGAATATTATTAAGTCATTTACAAACGAAACTTCACAGGCTATTCCTAAATGTTACTAGCTCTGGTGGGTGCCAGTTTAAAAAGACGAATATCTATTGGATACACTTATAAATGGCTTGTATCTTTTTCATACCAAGAGAGCACCCAGCTTTGATTTTAAGTTGTTGTTTTTTTGTGATTTTGTCTATACTCACAGGCAACAGCTTGTAAAATGAGGATCACACCTGCCATGTTAGAGATTTTGGCAACCACAAAGGTAGAACAACATCTGATTCTAGTCCCTATAATGTTAGTCTGTGATTATTGACTTGTTTTTTCTGGAATGTATTCATTCTGGTGCTCAACGCAGCTACTTTCACATGACATTAATTCTCTCAGTGAGCACCACTTCATATTGCCAGACTTTCTTTTTTAGAATTAAGACATTAACATCCTTCTTCTTATATTTTAAAACACTGTATGTTAGATTCTCCAATGAACCACATTGCAATTCCATGGGCATTAATTAGGAACAGGATTTGCAGTTTAGAAGTAGAAGTAAAAGGTGAATTCATATATCTACTCACAATAGACATTGAGGTCCACGGCCCTGCTGTGCAGACCCTGGCTCACAGCGTTGCTGGCCACACAGTGGTAAGTTCCTTTATCCTCTTTTCTCACAGTACTGATAAACAATGTAGAGTTGTCTTGAGTAAAGTGGTATCTGTTACTGGCACCAAGTGTTTGGTTGTCTCTCAGCCACTGGAACACAACTCTTGTTCCTCTCTCGACAGAACAAGTCAAAGTTGCGTTAGCCTTGTCCTCAACAACTGCATAAGAGGGGCTCTTCTGAATGACGGGACTGGACACAGGGACTGAGGAATAAACAAAAATGTTAGGCCTGAGTCCACTCAAATGATCATTATTACATGTAATGGGAAAACACTCACCGTCCACTGTGACATGCACAGTTCTCTCCTCCTTGATCACCAGTCCCGTCTGGTTATTAAACTGTATGTTGAGGTTCAGGTGGTAATCCCCCTCGTCCTCATGGTTTAATTCCCGGATTATTAAAGAAACATTGGGTTCCTTAAAGAGGAGGTGGTTGCGGTACATCATGTTGATGATTGTGGCCTCTTTGGTAAATGTTACCAATGTGGTTCTGGTGCTGCTCGGCCTGGTGTGGGACCAAGTTCCCTGGATCTCAACATCCTCCAGCGGATAGCGAGTCTCAACAGACAGGAGCATGGATTTCCCTTCAATCCCATGATGGACCAAGGAAGGGATGTGGATCAACTCAGAGCTGACTTCTGGATCGGTGAAGATGGGAGGAAAAGGAATAGGAGGAGAAGAAGGTAAACAAATTACTACACAATCACTTGTTGCATCTTCCATTGACATACGTCTTAAAACTTTTTTTTTAAACTTTAAAACTTTCTTTAAAACTTTCAGAAAGACAGTAAAAAAGTTCCTTTTATGTCTAAATAGTTTTTTTGTGTATTTTTATTTACTAAGCGAATATATTTCGCTGTACTTTGACAACATTGGTTGGGGTTGAGATTGAAGCGAGGGTTATATTTTTAGTAACCAAATCATATTCTTAATACCTTAAATATTCTTAATACCCCTTTTTTGTGAAAACAGCTACCGACTGCATCTGGAAATGGCGTTAATTATAGCGGTGAAGTAAATCCAAAAATAATGAGCCGAAATCACTCGTAGTGATGATGTCTGTTGTTTTTATAAAAATGTTGATTAATGCAACATTGGTATATGACACATTGGTCTGGACCAGTATACAAATTACCAATAACAAAGAATATAAATATATATATATATGTATAAAATGCACATTTTGTAAATGAAAATGTGTCACAGTGCTTCTCGCATTATATTATTTGGGCTTTGCGGAAATAAAATATGAGGATTTATCAACTTGCACTGTTGTGATGGTGTGATCATATGGTGTTACAACATATTGTTACAAATATATTCGGCACATGCTTTATCATGAATTGCAGTATATCGACTTAGGAAAATACATAATTATTTATAAATTGCTTTTAAATTTAGTAATGGGGAAATCATGGACACAAATGGCTGTTTTTATCTAACGATGAAACCAGTTCTGATCTCATAATCTGTATCCTACTCTTCAAATGGTCAAGGTCCTGAAACTGTAATGAGTTAATATTGACCCAGCTCACTACACAGTCCCATTGTTGTGCGACAAGGATGAGTTACGTCTCTTTGATCCCAACTTGTCCCAAAACAAACACTAGGGCTGTCTGAAGTTACTAGATATCCGTTGATCTATTGCACCTCACCGTCTGTTAAACACTGATGGTTGCCAGGGCAGTTTATTCACTGGTAACCAGCGGCAAACTAATATACTATTGTAAACACAAACATTATCAGGAGTTGAAGTTGTTTTTCTAGCAGCTTTTGTCAATCCAAATGATATTTCAATTGTTTATGATAGATAGACATTTGCTTACTCAGTTTTCTTATATCTTCTTCTATACATTACATTCCTACTGTTACAGATCATTAATATTATACGCTACGATGGTTTGATTTGAAAAAACATTTTGACAACTTCAACCTTTATGTGTGTTTTTCTTGACAGTTTGAAGTTAAAAAGTGAGCGACTGTGTTTGGTTGCCAGGTTGATTTAGGCGGCAGCATGTGAGTAGGCAGTTACTGTGAAACTAGATCAGTAAAAAACATCTCACTTTTCTCTAATTTGTGTCCCTTTGTCTCACTTCTGGCTGTCTATCTTGTCTTTCTCCGTTTCAGTTTTCAGCTAAGTTTCAGAACTTGGCGGAGGTGGAACATTTTAATGACAGACTGCTCATTTGCTTTACGATTTTAAATTAAATGCAAGGACTGGATTGGGGTAACTCGGAAAAGTGAGTTTTGTTCTCTCCTTTTAAACCCCTATTGCCTCACATCTCTCTTAAATATGTTTTACTTTGTCCCCCTCCCCTCTGATCCATCCATATTTCCTCCTCAGGGATGTCCAGCTGGTGTCAGCCAGGTCCCCGATGACTTCTGTCCATGTTGCTCATCACAATAGATTCATTGTGTGTCTGGTGTCATGTCCTAAATAATGCAGGCGTCACGTTGACACGTTCCACTCCTACAAGCCTGCAGGCCAGTTTCTGCGTGAATGTGTGTGTGTGTGTGTGTGTGTGTGTGTGTGTGTGTGTGTGTGTGTGTGTGTGTGTGTGTGTGTGTGTGTGTGTGTGTGTGTGTGTGTGTGTGTGTGTGTGTGTGTGTGTGTGTGTGTTGTCAGTAGCAGGAGTGTGCCTGTGTTTACACCAGCTGAGATCAACAAAAAGACAGAATAAGGAGAAGTGTGCCGAGTTCACTGTTGTCCCCAAACAACACTGGTATTGTTGTGGTGATACCGTGGAGATTAAAGACAATAGCGTTTGAGGTGAAAGGGTATCTTCATTTAGTGGACACACACACATTCAAACAACTATTGTGTGGAGACCCACCAGCACCTGCCTCTTATCACCCTCACACACACTTCGAGATGTTTGGATACTAAATAAAGTCTCCCGGTGTGTGTCAAAACGCCACCATGTTCTGTCCTCTTTCAGATAAGACAAATAGTGCTCCTCAAGGAGGGTTGTTGATACAAAACAAACAAACAAGCAGGTGTGAGAGTCCATGTTTTGGGGACTTTAATGTTAGATACATCTAGTCATGTGAGAAATGCTGGTCCATGTCTGAGTCACTGAGCTGTGGCCTGGGTCACTTCTTCTTTCCACGAACAGCCTCCTGTTGTCTGTACTCACAGACGACAACAGTAAAAAAGCTAATTCTGTCAAGTCACATAGTGATGACTATGGAAAGGACATGCAAAACTAAAAAGATAGACTCTAAAAGGAACGCTTTAAATACTTGAACTTACATTTAAGAAGACTGTAAAAGATTGAGATACATCCGTGTGAAGAACGTGTAATTGTGCCCTAAATGTAACATTTATTGCAAGCCAATTTTAACTTCTTAAAAATACAAAAAACATACAGGAACTGTCCTTGAATTCACTTCACAGTTTTATCATTTTCAACCAAGTTTCAATCCTGCTTCTCTAATCTGAACCCTTTAAAAACAAAACAAACTCACAAATGTGTTACTGCGCACTATAAAAAAACGTCCTCAATTCAGCCTCAGTTTTACCCTGCCAACCAACCAAACACAGCAACCACAGTAACTGCTACAGCAGCACCAACGCAACACTGACATCCCAAGCAAAACATCGCTCTATGGAAACTCACCTGTTAGGATGAGGAGAACACAGCAGACATAAAGCGCTGATCTTCCTGTGGCCTCCATGGCATCTTATCCTCTGGGAATATGTGTGACTTCTGACAGGCAGAGAGGGAGGGAGGGATGTAGGAAGGAGGAGAGAAGTGAAATAAAAAGGTGGAGGAGGATGAGGAGGAGGAGGGAAATGTGACTGGTTGTGGTGACAACATTTGCCAGGGAAATGAGAGGAGCTAGCTTTAGCCTGCATGCAGCCAGGTCCCTCCCCATGTGACACCAGGAGGAGGAAGAAGAGGTCCACCTGGCAGAAAGACAGCACAGCATGATCCTTACTCTCTCACACACACACACACACACACACACACACACACACACACACACACACACACACACACACACACACACACACACACACACACACACACACACAGCTGCCCTAGGGCTAAAGGTTCCACTCTGTCGTAGAGCAACTGACACTTACAACACTGTAAAAGGATAGTTGAGTCTTAGCATTGTAATACACCATCTGCCTGTCCTTCAGGGTGTGAAATAAAGAAAGAGCAGGCAGACAGAGAGCTTTTAACCGCCAAAGCCTCTCAGTTTGGTTCAGTTACAACAGCCAGCTGTCAGTAATCATTTGAAGTCTTGAAATAAGGGGACAAAGAGACAGAGACTGATACTGAGGTAAAACTGACTGGGGAATGTTGTTCTGACACATGTATCACGGACCTTTGCAAATGCCTTGAAGATACAGACTCTCGTCAAGATCTAAGAGACGTACGTAAATGGTAAATACGTTATTTTTTTTATTTTTTTCAGCCCTCAGGAAGACTTTGTGGGAAAAGATAGAGAGTAGAGAGAATACTGTTGTTAATTCTTGCCCACTAAGTCGTTGCAGAAAAACAAAGGTTTGTTTGTGCCACAACCAATGACCATTTTACTCTAAGCCTGAGTTTGTTTTAAAAGACTTCTAAAACTCATGAAGACATTTTGTTTTTTTTATTTTAATCCGTGATGGAAATTGTGTTTTTATTGAAATCATACACAGTCAAATGTTTGTCTCAAACAGCAAAGCACAAAATAGTCACATGTTTAACACTCCCTGTGTCTCCTCAGTGACTCGCTCAGCACAGTTTTGTTCTGCATGATCATCCTCTGAAAGGATGTGGTGAAACTGCACACTGAATGAATTCGGCCATTGTAGGTTGTGTCAATGAGTGCCTATTTGGTGGTGGTACCATTAAATACACTGATTATTTTCTCTGCTGTCAACTTCTCCATGGGGATGTGCATTTGCTGAGAAACCAGATAAAACTGAGGTACTGTCACATCAATACAGCATTTGTTAGCGAGAACACATGATTTGGCAAATTTGACAAGGAGTGATCTATATATACCACATTTTGGTCTCCATTTAATTCTACTAGAAAATGAGTGGAGTCCAAATGATCTTACAAAAAGGATATATAAGATAGAAATACAAAACATAAAATCTGTATACTAATATTCTTCTATTTAAGTCACAGTATTCTCTTGGACCGTCACTTCATGAGGCAGACTCTCTACAGAAGCTGCAAGTTCCCTCTTTACCTTTAGATGGGGTCAGTGCATCAGCTATGAGACTGTCCATGGATTTATGAACTGAACTGAACAGCATGTTGCAATATGTTTCAGGGATAGTTTATTCTAATTAATGATCTTTGTTGAACCGCTCTGACATTTCATGGCTCTGTGGCAGAGGTTCACAAACTTGTTTTGTTGGTTTTGGACCCTTCAAATCAAGTGTACTCATGCCCTGTGTGACACGTGTCTATGAGTTTCCTCCGTTTTTAGAGGCCTGATAAGGTTGTGATATATCTTCTACAATAAAAAAAAGTTAGAAATTAGGATAATAAATCATCTGAATTTGCATAACAGATTCATGATGTATACTTCTATGTCAGATACAGTATGATTATGCACCTTTGGTCTTAATGATGTTGGAAAAAAGACTTGGAACTCAATAAATGGATAGTTGATCGCTTTTTAATCCAAAATGAAAGACTTAGAGGAATATCTCTAATAGTAATAGTTAATAATAAATGTCCCATGCTTGAATTTTTGTTCCTATTTATGTTTGGTACTTTTTTAGTTTATTTCTGTCTGTATGTGTTTTTATTTGTGCTGCTGCACGTTTTGCCCAGGACCAATCCCATGTGACTCTCATGTTTTAATAAAGGTTATATAAATAGAGTTCAGTCTGACAACTCACGTGTTTCTTAATATGTTTATTATAAGCAGCATATAGTTTGAGTTTGGCGTCTAGGCTCGGGCATCATCACTCCACAGATTTACAAAGAACATTGAGTGATGATTAGATAACTATCCCCCGAGCCTACAGGTGGAAGCTGGGGTGGAGCTGGGGTGGTGGTGGGGCAGGCGAGTAGCAGCAACATGAAACACAGCAGCAGGAACATGAACATAGCAATAGCAAGTGAACACAGCAGTGGCAGCAGCAGCATAGCGAGGCAGGAAGACCTGGCAGCTTAAATAGTTTAGATATATATGAAATATGTTTCGAAGAATGTGTTTGGTTGGTTGTAAAAGGGACGAGGTGCGCCACGTGTTAATGTATCATAGGTGCTCGAGTTGACTGCCTGAACTAGCTCGCAGGCTTCGCCCCATTTAATACACAAATGTTGTTGACAGCAGTTTGGATGTTCAGTTATGAGGTTCATCATGTCTGCTTAGTGGGAATTTGTGATCCCTGAACCTTGTTCGTCCTTACCCTTCCTCTAACATTACCATGAATTAAAGAATCAACAGGAACTATCTGGCATATTGTATTACTCTGGTATGGCCTGGTGTGGCCTTTTTGGACCGCCCAACCAAAAACCAGGACACTGAAGCTTAGTGACACACCCACCAATGCACACACACACAACCTCAAATGGGGGCCCTCATACATTGCTAAAACATGTCACATTTTCCATTCTCAGCCTCCCATGCAGCCCATGTCTGTGAAGGTTGCCCTACTTTACCTTTAAGTCTCTGGACTGCCTTCCGCTGACTCCAACTCTTGCAGCTCATCATATTATCTTTTTCTCCTTATTCTTGTTGCTCCTCCATCTTCTTCTTCTCCTTCTAATGTTGATCCTTCTTCTCCTGCTCTTTCATTCCTCCTCTCCTCTTGGAGCCTTGGTCTCCAGCTGTAGACACTCAGAGCAGACACAGCACACCAGCCCAGATCAAGGCCACACTATTGGCAAACGTGTGTGTGTGTGTGTGTGTGTGTGTGTGTGTGTGTGTGTGTGTGTGTGTGTGTGTGTGTGTGTGTGTGTGTGTGTGTGTGTGTGTGTGTGTGTGTGTGTGTGTGTGTGTGTGTGTGTGTGTGTGTGTGTGTAGCAGTCATTACAGTGGGGCCACATAGGGTGTCAGTGGCCTACTGTGATATATATTTGGGCTCTCATTCATATTTCTGTCTCAATCCATTAAAATGTGGAATAAAATATATAAATCAACTAAAAAGTGAAAGGTCCTCCTATTTCATCAGTAAGAGTGTCAAAGTGCAGGAAGAACAAATCTGTGACAGTCACTTATGTCACACCAGATCAAGTTATGCTAAAAAATTCATAGGAAAAGCTAGCAAGCACACATGCAATCCATTACTGTGCAACTAAAATGAGAAGAGGTCACGTACAGTTGTGCCTTCGAGGTTGTTCATAGGAGGATGTCTCTCCTTGAATGACAACTTGAAATTATTATATGTAGAACATGTTAGCCTATGGCTGGTGGAGAACAAGAGACAGAGAGAGAGTGGGGTTAAGTGGAGCATTGAGGAAGCAAAGAAAAGGGGCGGGGATTTCTGCATGGCCTCTGAGTGATTTGATTGGATGACAGAGTTTCATTCACACACAAAGATTTATAACACTGGGAAACAGAATGTTGGACACACACGCTGCACAGTGTGTGTGCGTGCCTGTGTGTGGGTGGATGAAGGCGCATGTTTTTCCCTCATGCTCACATGTGAACGGCACTTTTTCTTTTTTCTTTTACTGCTGCACTGTTGAACCCTCCTATCTCTCTCTGGATCTGACTGTTGTCGCCTATAGCACCTTGACTTCACGAACCAAGTGTTTGACGCGGGCACGTGGTCAATGCAAATCTTTTCAAAGAGAGCCACCCCGAACTTTCAACATCATTCAAAACATTGTGTGTGTGTGTGTGTTTGTGTTTATCCCAAAGCAAACATGTCTATATTGTTGTGTACCCCTTTAAGTTGCAAGTAAGGCTGTGTATGACTGTGTCTGATGTCAAGAGCCTCACCCCTTTAATGCATTCCACTATCTCTAGCCCACGCACTCGCCTTGTGACCCGCAGTCAATGACAGGAAATAAGCCGCTTGTCAAATCCTGCTGCCTGCAACCTAGATCCTCTTCTGCTTCCAGTCAAAGACTTTGTGTGCTCAAAAGAAACTAAACACACCCACAGCTTCATTGCTCCATGTACATCTATAGGAGCTGCATTCTTACCCAGTCTGTGTGCAATTTCTCTCCCAACTGTCAAAATGTTGCCTCATCACAGTTGAGTCAATGGTTTTTTAATGTAAAAGACATAGCGTAAATATGATTGAGCACATACTTTATTACTTTATTTCAAATTCCTCACTTAAATAACTCATGCATTGCAGCGCAGGTGACATGGTGTCTGTCAATGGCAGGTGTAGAGCTGATAAAAAACGTTCCTTAACAGTTATGTTTGCATAGTTGACACCCATATGCACACACTGACATATTATCTTGTTTCCTGTTCTCCAGTGTATAGCTCCTCAGAGAGATTAAATAAATCAAAGATTCTTACTCTGAATGGGGTGCCTTTTATGACATATAATAATGTTATGCTTGGGGTCAAGAAAAAAGAGACTTAAATTATGCAAAGCATCGGCTCTAGACATGACTAAGGTAAATGTCTAGTGGTATATTTACTAAACTAAGAAATGAAAGTTCACAGTTATTCCATTGCTGTCATGACTTTAATTAGTTCCCCAGCAGCGTTCCGTCCAACATACACAAACACATCTATGAAAAATAGGTGTTTATGTCGCACATGCCACAAACCAAACTGGCGTGTGTTTTTATTTTAGGGTGGGTGCACGTGCATGCATACAGAGTCAAATGGACACAGCCACCTCTATGTTCACTGGCAGTAAACTGTTGGCTGTTAAGACAGTCCACAATCCCAGGCTGAAAGGCAGTACTCCCTTTGCTCAGGTCTGTGCATGTCGGCTTTGCTTCACACAGTCGTAAAGCGAAAGAAAACAACGCTAAGCTTGCACCAATCAAAAGGTAAAAGGGTATATATTAACCTTATTTGACCAGCCTCACTGGCTCAGTAACAGCCTCAAGTAACCTGAGAAGAGAAAGATGACATTCTGCATAACACATGCATCAAGTACTTCTCATTTCCTGAAAGCGGTTTTGTATTTTGGAATTGCCATGGGAGGTAGGAGTCAAAACAACCGGCCCTGACACACACACACACACACACACACACACACACACACACACACACACACACACACACACACACACACACACACACACACACACACACACACACACACACACACACACACACACACACACACGGCCTCTTTCCTGTCATAAAAGCTTCTAATGCTTATTGTCAATCCACAGAAACTAGGTGGTGGCTGTTCCTATGTTTCTACAGGACTTTACCATTAATCAAAAATATTCAACTAATGCAAAAACATCTGGTGATCTTTCACTCCCTCCCCGGAGGTGTCACAGTAAAGTATTTCCCACTGGTGCATAGTAGAAGTAGGAGATTACATAGTTCCTGTCAAAAAACAGAGATGTATTGATAGGGGTTGTTGAACAGCTGGATGGCTTATCACACACCTACTGTCCTGAAGTAAACATTGCTTTGTTTAAAGGTATTCAGATCTGTATATCCATAACCACTCGATGTAATCGGCAAGGAAGTGTGAAGTAAAACAAGCCAAGTTTGCAAGTTGGATGATTTTCTTAGGAATTTCTTTGTGTGAGAGCTTTCATTTTTTGTGTGCTTACAGACTGACAAACAGATGCAGAAATACCTGTTCTCACACCCAAAAACACAAAACCAGCGCAGCTCCACATACAGACATTTGTATACTTTCACTGGTACTTCAATTTCATTTAAATGTCCCCTATTATACTCTTTTTCATCAATATATTATAGTTCTCAGTTATATACCAAACATGTCTCTGAAGTGTTTGGCTTGAAATACCAAACGGATCATTGCAGCATCCCATAATCCCCTCTGTTTTAGCCCTGTTTCAAAAGTGCTGATTACTGATTATTGTCTGTTACTTTAGATCAGGGGTGCCCAACCAGTCGATCGCGATCGACCGGTCGATCTCGGGGAGATTCCCAGTCGATCGCGAGATGTGTCTAAAAATAGAACAACAATATTCTGTTTTATCGTTAATGTCCTATAACATAATCTTCCTGTGCCAGAATAATGCACTTGAACGCATCAAAGCTTTGTGATTGGCCGGCGTGACCCCATGTGTCGGGGCGTGGCTGGTGGGCAGTGGGCACTATTTCGCTGACGTTGTCCGTGTCAACAGGAGTGCCAGTCCGCACACACACAAGACCGCAATTATGGCAGAAGCAAAAAAGCCAAACATATATAATTTTCACTCCGAGTGGGAGGATGATTATTTTTGTATCTATTCCAATTCAAAGTCCATCTGTCTCATCTGCAATGCGAGCGTGGCTTTATCGAAGAAGGGTAATTTAGGAGCGGCATTTACGACGGAATTCCCTCCTAATTCTGCCCTACGCTCCCAAAAGGTGAGGGACCTGAAAGGACAGCTAAATGCACAGCAGTCCATTTTCACCAGGCCCAACAACAAGAGCAAGGCTGCTACCATAGCATCTTATCGTGTCAGTCACGTTCTTGCGAAACACATGAAGTCTTTCCAGGCTGAAATGACTGAGGGGGCTGTTCAAAAATCCTAGGGGGCGACTTTTTTTTCACAACAACGAAAAATACTGGCAATGTAATGAATTGACACACCAAGTTTTTTTCATTCTCACTGCTCTACAATCTCTTTGCTTCTTTATTTGTATTCTGGATTGACCCCTCTCATTCTGTTCTTTTCCTCTGATCTTTAATAATAGATAGTACATTATTAGATGCCTGCACTTTGTTAGTCACGTTAACAGACTAACATTGATTTCCTCAATTTATAAATGGACAGGCTCTGTAATTATACCATAACCTTTTCTCCTCTATCCCTTAACTCGTCTTCCTATACAGATTTATTTACTTACTATCTACTCTAGTCATGTCAGGATTAAAGACAAATTAATCTGTTTTTTTTTATTTTCAGGATTGAATGTTCAAACCAAGACCTAAAACCTGGCATTCCATAAGAAAGTGACTAATATATAAACCAAATGTAATATTGGATCAAATACTACACCAAATGGACAGACACAGATTAAAATTCCGTCACTAGATGTCGCTCATTGTACCAATACGGTTTATATAATAACATATTATTAAATTATTATAGTAAAAGGGCTCGCTTTGGCAAAAACCTGATCCATACAGGCAGCCCTAAATAATAACAGGTAAGCATCATGTGTGGTGCTATCTGTAGTTGTCTTATTTTTTGTCGATTTCATCTTGTTTTCACAGAGCTGTGGAAATGAATTTCCCCCTGGGGACAATAAATCTAATCTAAACTAATTTAATATTCAATCCCACACTTGGCGATTGAGAACATACATTCGTAATTTACCTCGTTTAAATCACTTTTGTTCTAATACTATGGATTTAGTTGACACTACTAGCCGACTTTCTTTTGTCCAATATTTTGCGGGAAGGTACATTGAATTAGAAGCTTCTTATTATACATCCATGGGTAGAAGAAGAAGAAGTAGAGGTAGAAGAAGTAGAGGTAGAAGAAGAAGAAGTAGAGGAAGAAGAAGAAGAAGTAGAGGTAGAAGAAGAAGAAGTAGAGGTAGAAGAAGAAGAAGTAGAGGAAGAAGAAGAAGTATTAGAAAAAGAAATACACTAACGCTACAAACAGGCACAACACTGTTACTCTGTTTTACTGACATGTAACATTTTATTTCACCTTGCTCTATGTTTTTTAACGCACATTCCGAAAATGGGGACACATGCTAACATTAATTAAGACTACAAGCTCACTTGGGGTTGAGGCTTGTTTACACGTTGCTTGACTGCCTGCCCACATATCTGATCTAATTATAGTAACGTGTGTTGGGGAAAATAATTATTTAAAGTTATTTAATAATTGTGACATTTATTTAACTTTTCGATGGCTGAATGATGCTCAAAGTGAGGGGGCAAATAAAACAACTTAGGGGGCAATGCCCCCTTTTGCCCCCTCGTGGCGCCAGGCCCGAGTCTTTCAAAGACGGCGAAGTTGTGAAAGAAGCATTCCTGGAGGCTGCCGACGCGCTTTTTGGGGACAGTAAAAATAACAGTAGCATTTCAACAGGTTTTTGATATAATAAAAACTCAAGTTAGATACCGTTATTAATCAGCTGTAAGTTTTTGTTTGTTTGAACTTATTCATTATAATTATTGTACAAAATGGTATAAGATAAAGATAAAGGTTATAGTCTATTATCAATTCAGGTTAAGAAACTAGTGTTGCTTGCATCCTATTTTAAAAGGCATTTATTTTTATACTCTACTAAATGCAACAAAAAAAGGGTTTGATTCTATTAATTTTGTCTTTTTTATTGCACTTTGGCAGCAGATTCCTGTGTAGCTTCAGATCTGAGTTGTCTTATTAGTAAGCCTAATTTATACTTTTGTAGCAACACTACTCAGTTTTACACAAGTAGAAGTGTGTATTTACCTGGTAGTAGGCTGTCAGTAATGGCTACGCCTGGACGCTTGGATTGGTAGATCTCGGCAGACTGGCAACTTTAAAAGTAGCTCTCGGTTCAAAAAAGGTTGGGCACCCCTGCTTTAGATGAAAATAAGGAGCCACTCCCCACCCCCCTCTGAGAGATATTTGGTTAAAAAGAACACAATGGTGCTCGAGGAGATGCAGGTGATAAGGTGTGTGTGTGATTGGCTATTGGTTACACAACCCAAAAAAACATTAGGACATCACAAAGTGGCCAAAATCTGATCAGCTCATTTTCAGACAGGATTTTATATAAATGGATCAGGACAAAAAGAGAGAAGGTCTTGGTTCCTGAAACTTTCAGAATCTCTTTACACAGAGGGGACACGTGTTGATGTATAAAATACATTCAAAAGTGGATTTTGCATAATAGGTGACCTTTAATTTGTTTTGTTTTTTTATCATAACTCTAATACTGTGATAGAAACATTAAATACCAACCCATTGTATCATCATGGATAAAGATGGACAGCTTTTCGTATGATTGTTTATTGATTCGGAATATTTTCATCCATATTAAGACACTATCTCTAATAAAATAAGCTGTTTAGTCTCTTCCAGTCTGACCTATTCACCAGTATTTCAGGCAGGGACTTTAGACTTCATACCTTAAAATACAGATACACAAATTAGTCCTATTATGTGACAGCCTTACAGAGGTGTGACAAATACAGTTGGTCTTTAGAGAAAGTTTAGTTGCAGCAGGTCATCAGTCACAATGGTCTTAATGTGGCAAGAGGAAAAGTCTCAAACGTCATGTCGACATACTGCAAATACAGCAAAGAGGAACAGTGCGAGTAGACCCTCACCCACATTGTACAAGAGAAAAATTGCATAGCAACTCTGAATAACCAGAGTTGTATAAACACCTCCAAAACAGCATAAGCAAAAACTAATAATTAAAAGCCTTAAATCTTTGATTTTTACTCTAAAGCTTTTGTTTTGTTTGTATAGTGTTTGTGCTATTTTGGTTTAACATCCAGGAACACAAAAACTGGAATGTAAAGTATGTGTTGACTTGAGCAAAAACAATAAATAAAGACAGAACTAGACCCTCTAATTTTAAGTGATGTGGAAAACAACCATCATGTTTCCAGTCATTAGATCCCACCTGTATCCAAGGAGGTTGGGTACAAATACAAGGAAAGGGGACAGTAAGAGCAGATGCTGTCAGTAACTCAGCCCTTCACTCCCACAGCATGCACCTACAGTATCTGTGACCACTCAACTGATTACAGACAAGATGGTATAATTGTTCCCAGGTGGAACAATAACAATTCTTCACAACATAAGAGCCGCAGATACAACCCGCGGTACCTTTTAAGGTCTAATAAAATTCCTCTCCCAGCGGAAAGATAAAACAACTTGTTTTTACTACAGATGTTGTAAAACAATACTGGTGATGATACAGGTTTATGATTGTTTGCATTGTTCATTTTGCACAAACGCCAGGGAAAAATGACTATCCTTCTGTCCGTTTATTTTAAATTGTATAGACGGTAACAGAATGTATCATCATTTGGTTAATTTTGAACGAACACCAAATCTCGATATCAGATATAATACCTTAAAGGCCAATAAGAATGATAACCAAGGCAAATTTGAATATTTTAATAACGATTATGTTCTTTAAAAAGTGTAATTATAGGGACAAATGCTTAGCCCACAGTGACTTCGAATTTACATATTCCACTTTTAATTTGTTAAATACAGCATAAACACTGCTTGATGGCTTTCATCTCAACAATAAAGTTGCTGAGTTCACTTAAATCACATCCCCTTAAGACTAGTGACTAGCGCCAACACAGCAAACATTATTATCCCCCCTCCCCCCCCAATCTTCCGCTTCTTTGCACAGGATTGAAGTAATCCTTCCGATCCACCCATTAATCACCAATCCATCCCATAAAAAAACAATCTGTCAAATAGTATTCATTTGCTACCAACTTGTTTTTTTCCCCTGCTTCTGCGGTTAATTTTCTGAGGAATGTGAGGAGCAGCTGTCACTTTAGCACATGAATAGAGCCAGTTTAGTGGCCCAGACGCATCGGAGTGGATCAACGTCGAGCAGGGACAGCTGGCCCGGGGGACAATAGCACTCTCAGTTAATCATTAATACTCTTAATGAACAGCAGCCAAGCACCAGAGGTTCACCAGCCTCTCCAGAATATTCCGCTTGTAGCAGGAGGACGCAGGCAGCTCGGCCTGCCGGCTGACCCCAAACTGACACTTGTTGATTGGGGCCTTTAAAGGGGCTGCGGGAGATTTAAACTGCTGTCTGTTTGAGGAAGTTTCAGCCGTCGGCCTTGAGAAAGATGACAACTGAACTTCTTTGTGTTTGTCAACCGACATGTTATTTGCCCAAAAGTTACTTCATGCAGAGCTTTGCTAGCTGTTTCCCTGGTTCCAGTCTTTAAATGCTAAGCTAAGCTAATCGTCTGATAGCTCTAGCTCTATTAGGAATGATTTATGGACTTTATAAACATTATTTTATTTTCTTATACCATTTAATTAAAGCTGTAAAATGTATATGTTGTATTGATATAAATGAGTTGTATCTTGTTCATTCAATATATAAACAGATTAAACATAAGAGATACAATGAGATAATTGTGAACTTTAGAGTTGAGCAACTGACATAAGAGAACTTTCTCTGTAATCAGGGAGTGTCTGTGTAGGGGAAGGTTAACGGTTGCTAGGCAAGACTCAAATAATGAGGTCACAGGTACAGGTTGTTGTATGTATATGTATGGCAAACTGTATACCTGGTGATCCTGGTTATTCATTAAGTAACCACTGCTTAATAATATAACCATCAAGATGTTAAAATAAGGAAAGAATCTTATCACTACTGGATTATTTTTGTCATAAAACTCTCCTTGTTTTGCTAGAACAAGAGTTAAGAAGCCACCAAACAACATAAGGTGTTATTGGAAGATAAAAGAGCTTCTGAAGGGTGGCAGATGTTAGCTAAAGGTCTCATTTGAATTTAACACTGATCCTCTGTTTATGTGTGTGTGTGTGTGTGTGTGTGTGTGTGTGTGTGTGTGTGTGTGTGTGTGTGTGTGTGTGTGTGTGTGTGTGTGTGTGTGTGTGTGCATTCGTGCCCACATGAATTTGTATGTGAGTGTGTGTCTGTTCGTGGCTAAGCGTCCAGCCTGGCCCTCCCCATCGGCGGAGGTGGCAGGTGTTCCTGTGTCCCCTAAAAGAGCAGGTTTTTATGTCGCCTCCTCAAGTTAGTGGCTTGGTTGCTATGGCGATGCCCCAACAGAAAGAGGCTTGTGTCTGGGGGCCGGTGCCGGGGAGAGGAGATGGGCAAAGGGAAGAGGAGAGAAGGGGGCTTTACTTGCACTTGGACTTCAGTCTGGCTCGACAAGAAAGAAGAAAAAGAGAAGAAATCAAGTCAGGGACAAACAACAGGCTCCGATTGTGTGGCGGCACCATGTCTGTTCTGCCCAAAATGTTGCTTAAATATTAAGCTGCTGATAGGTGAGCAAGACCTGACTCACACCGCTGACTAAGTGATGCTTGTAAATCCTGACAATGGGATTGGGAACTTAAAAAGGAACCTAATATCACACATCCTATCAGATTCCTTCCCAGGTGTGACAGCTGTCCACCTAAAGACTTTAGGTTATTATCACTGTACCCTATGCCTGGTCGCGTGGACATCCCCCTCTATTTAGGCGGGACAGGTAGACAGGCCCACAATCAATCTCTCCCTCTCTCTGTATGTGTGTGGGTGGGTGTAAGACAATCTGGGAGAGACTGGGAGTCACCTGTCCCTTGTTGGCCTCCCTCGTCCCCCTTGGGAGGGCTGTAATTCTCTCTTGGCTGGACTGATCAGCAGCTGCCTCGTGCACACACACACACACACACACATAGAAACACACACACAGATACACACACATAGGGACAAGGCAAACACAGTCAGAAACACAAACATGCATTTTCTTTCACATCTCAGAGTCAGACTGAAAGATTGTGCTGGCCTTCTTGGGATGCTAAAAAGCAGCAGCACATTATGACTCAAATTACACATTCAGTGAACACATGACACCATGTAATTACTAGCCTCAAATTGATGAAGTTATTCCTCTAGGTGAGAAATCTAATCATCATCATTGTTTTTTATATTAACATGAGTTCCAAATGACTATGGTTGTGTTACATGTAACAAAAAACCTGGTCCGTCCACGGCACCTGTTTAGAAGCACTGAAGAGTAAAAATGAGTAGCTACCTGTTATCATGGAGTATTTAACAACTATAGCCATATATTTACCTTAGGTGTAGCTCAACACCATAACAGACTTTAAAGAGTGAATATTCGATTTTCATTTCTTAGATGTACAGCAAACACAGCTCCAATTAAATGCTAATGTTGCTCTGAGTCTGCTAAATATAGGTAACAATATACGCTGTCAATGTTCTGTTTTCAACTTGTTCCACTGCCTTAAATGGAATTCAATTAATGCAAGTTTAAAGTGCACCTATCATGCTATTTTTAGGCAATAGCATAGGTCTCAGATATATAAATATATATAAAAAACATGTCTATAAAGTGTTTTGCTCAACATACCAAACAGATCTCCCATTCTAACCATGCTTCATATCCCTCTATTTCACTTCCTGTTTCAAAAGTGCTGATTTGGGGTATAAAGCTTTAAAAAAAAAAAAAGGAGGGGGCTGACCTCATGTGGGAGATTCTACGGCAGATACTGCCGTGATGAAACGCCATATCATGGATTATCAAGGATTATTTTGAATATAATATATTGAAACAATATGGAGCTCAAAGGCTTTCTCTTTTGCCGGTTATACCAGAAGGTGAGTTCCTTTTTATTTCCTGCTTCTTCACACACGTGCTCTGTGCAGTACAGGTTAGCTCTGAGTGTTAGCGATGCTAATGTAAACACCGACCATATTACATCCACAACAGTCAGGCATTGTTTCTGATAGCAACGTTTCTGATAGGGCCGTGGGTGTAAAGCCAGCCTACATTTCCGATATTACGTCATATCAGACGCAAATCTGGATCAGCTCCGTTGTAGCCCCGTTTTTAGAGATTTGGGTACGGAGGAAAAGAGAGAGGGTTTTATTCCCTGACACACCGGGGACATATATTTATGTATAAAAGACATCAAAAAGTGCATTTTGCATGATAGGTCCCCTTTAAGTTTTAGTGCTTTAAAATATGTAAATATTACAAGGGTTTTTTCTTTCGTGTATATAAGTAAACAGATTTTATAAGATTTTTTAAAGGATTTGCCTTTTATTACTGGACGTCAACCATCTCTAAAAGACAAAAAAAGAAACCCATAAAATCCTGGCTCCAAAATGGTGGAATGAGCTCCCCATTGACATCAGGACAGCAGAAAGCTTACACATCTTCCGGCGCAGACTAAAAACTCATCTCTTTCGACTCCACTTCGAGCAATAAAATGACTAACAAAGCACTTATATACTATATATATATATATATATATATATAAGGACTGGCTTATCTAAAGCTAGTTGAGTTGCACTTGAAATGTTATGGCTCTAACCTGATGTACTTATATGATTCTGTTTTCTTTAAGTTTGTATCTTCTTGGTCGAATGCACTTATTGTAAGTCGCTTTGGATAAAAGCGTCAGCTAAATGCAATGCAATGTAATGTAATAAAAGCAACTTTCCATCTGACGTTTTTGCTTCTTATCTGGTGGTATACACTGTAACACGAAGAATGAGCAAAAATCCATCCAAACACTTCGCAGTGCGTTATCTTTGAAGTATGCAGAAATAGCTTATTTCTGGACCTCTATAAGGAACTGTTTCAAAGAGCTGTCCGACAAAAACATAGTGTTAAAGACACAATAAGTATGATTTTCTCAAAAACCCAATGTATAAACTCCTCTCAATCATCACTTACAAAACACTTGAAGTTCTCGTAGGGCAGACCCTGCCCTACTAATGGATTCTTCTTGTTTTTTCTTTAATTTGTTATTTTCTAGGTGTTTCTGGTTGTTAACTTCTATAAAAACGTTACTACACAGTGCCAGATTTTAAGCATGCATCCTAAAGCAAGAAACAAAAATGGCGGACGCAGATTCAGATTTTTTGAGAGAAGCCAAAATCCAAGCAGACAAAGCTTATCAACCATTTTAATTGAATATCAGAATCAAATGTTAAGGAGTGGCTTTTGTTAAGCAACATTGCTTCACACAATGTATGCCAGCAGGAGATTCTCAGGAATACTGAGCTGAAAACAGGTTGGGGCGTTTGAGGAAATTGGGTTGTGATTCTTAACTGATGCAAGTTTTGATAAGCCTTTTAGTCTTCAAAGAAACTATCCAGATGGCTTAATTTAGATAAATATTTGGAGGTTAAAGAGATACATTTATCAAATATTTGTATCGTGTGTCCAACGTATGAAGCCTAATTTGGATTGTTTTTCTCCCACTAATCATCTCATATGTACATCCCCCAGAAAAAAAAAAGATAATGTTAAACTTCACTAAAATGTAAGATTAAAAGTAATCCCTTACGTCCTATATCACTCACATAAAATGTGTTTTATTTCAAATATTTGAAAGCGCATTATGCTGATATAAGCAGCATCTTGAAAGCAGAACCATTTTTTGTTATGGAATATTTTCAAATGGTGTTTTATTGTTTTACTCAAGGATCTGATTAAGAGGCCATGCATGTCTGTGTGAAACAAAACAATAAATAGCAACATAAAATAAGAAATGCCAGGTTTTAGTAACAATCTGGTAAATGTGCCTAAGTCACCAAATCCACATAATCACATCCTGCAATGTGTGTCTTAAAATCAAGATGAACTGCTGTTCTCACAATGTTCAAAATGCAATTTCAAGAAATTCAAGAAACACAGAAGATTACATTTTAGATTATATGCTGAACATGTTGTTCCCAGAAAAGGATGTTCCTAAATGGATTGCATATTTTCTAAAATGACTACCGATATGAGTACCATCAAGGTGAACACATGAAGAAACAGACTGTGGAAACTTAAGAATGATACGTTTGTGTGTCATATATTGACTAATCAATGACGGGGGTTGTCTCCCCTCTTTGTACCGCACACAACGGGCCTAATTGGTTTGTTCTTCTGCCAGATAAGAAATATGCATGCTAATGTATTCAATCTGGGCGATGGCTCTCAGAACTGATTTCACATGAACAATGATGATGAAGAAATGTAAATGCCCACATTTACAGTAATTGGTCTGGGAAACATTGTCTGCATTGTCTGTTTTGTGATGCAAATTGTTTACATTTGGGGTTGACTATAATGTTGGGCAGGGGAGATTGTCGTACATACTTCCATGTCATTATCTCCCCCTACTTAACCTTTTCAATAGAAATCAGTAGATTATACAAGCAGCATGCAAGACAAGTTTGCATGTAAATAATAGCATAGGGGGAATGTCCTTCCTTTGATCTCTTGTGCGTATTCCAATGAAGTTATGATAATAGCGCTGGGTTACACGCCTGTAATTGGCTATTCAAATCGGATAATCTGACATCAACTCTTGTCATGTCTAAACCGTGTCCAGCATTAAATAGGGGGAAAATGTGAAATTAAACTTTATGTCAGAGTTTGGAGAATTTTGAGACTGACAATAATTGTTTTGAATGTCAACTCCTAATATATTATGAAATACTGTCAGGATTTAAGTAAAAAATTGTCCATTAAATCAAGTCTTGTCATGTCTAAAGCGTGTCCAGCTGCAAATAGGGGGGTGAAAATATGAAATTAAACGTAATGTCAGAGTTTGAGAATGATTGTTTTAAATGTCTACTCTATATAATATGAAATACAGCTTGGATTTCAAGCAAAAATAAGTCTATTAAATGAAACATGAGTAAAATAAGACAAGAACCCATATCAAATAAATGAAGGAATAAATAAGTGACACAAAGATGCTTTACATACGTTATAATAATGTAGACTTTAGCCTTGTATGGTAATATAGATGTTCATAATTATAAAAAGGTGTACACTTAATTGAAAAGTTTTAATATATGTTGGACTAATCTTGCTTTAATATTAAACTTATTTTTATTAAATTATTATTATTACTTTTTTTGTGAAACTAATCAAAGGTAGGATGTGATGAAGATGATGCTTTGCAGTTTTTCCCCAATAACTAAATACATTTTTTTGCCATCTAGTAGCTCACATGGTCACCACGCCGGTCGTGATGGGGCCCTGCAGACGACCACCGGAGCAGAGGAGTCCCCCTGCCGCAGATCAAGCCACCGGGCCTTGAACCTGACCCCTTTGGGACCATATAGGGCGAGCTTGTCACATTGCATCCCCGCTGGCGCATTGTTTCAGCAGGAGTCCCTCAAAGCCCTGAGAGGGAGATAGATAGTGTGGCCGTCCATCCAATAAACTGCCTCTCTCCCCTTCACGATCCCCGCGGTGCTCCCGGTTTTGACACAGGAGACAAAACCCGCAGGAGAGGACTATGAATGGTAAAAGCACCGAGGAGGCCGAGTGAGAGCAAAAAGGAGGCGGCGTGGCTTTGTAGTCGGGGAGGAATGCGGAAATGTCCTCGCTCCGTGTCAAACCTCTCTGAAGGGGGTCAGGCCACATTCAGCCGGCGTGGGAAAGCCAGGCAGAGACGGAGCTCACAGGCGAGGAGCGAGGCTGCATTGCATAGGCCTATCCGGGGATATATGGAAGAAAAAAAAGAAGAAAGAAAGGAGAAAATCCAAAGAAGAGCGTGGTTTTTGGAGGGCTGTATCACGCGTTTGCCTTTGTCCTATGACCCCCCCATCCGACACCCCCGTCCCCTCCACACCCCCCACACACACACAAAGTTGCAGTGAGAGTGTGTGTGAGTTTTTCGTGCACCACCTCCTCCTCCCTCGTTGAGTGTCTTTGCCTTGGCTGGTGCAGTCTGAGGGATGGGGGATTAGAGCCTGCACCGTCCAACTACCTGTGTGGCCCCCGCATGGAGGACAGTGGACAGGGGTGCGTTTGATGCAGGACATTTTTATCCGAAAAACGAATGCCTCCTCAGCATTTGATCGGATATGCCGACGTTACGACACTTTATTGACAACATAAACCAAGGTAAACACTGAGAGTGGGGGATATTTATGCCGAATTGTGTGCCAAAATGTTTTTTATCAGGCTAGAAATGTTGCATTACAATCCAATATCATTTTAGTAACTGAAAAGAGCATTTCCCTGGCTTGCTAGTATTTAAATGAGCATTTTTGGGTCCACGCACAAATAAATTAGAAACAATTAGAGGGGGCTTTCCACGCTAATGAAAACACCTTTAAAACTCTGCTAATGCATTGTTGTACACGTTAACAACGACTTGTGGTTTGAAACGCAAATTGTAAAGTGTTTTAAAGGACTGTTGCTGTAGGAAGTCCAGACAATGCAATCACTAGACAGCCACGTGCTCGCAAAAGTTTGTGTCGCCTGAAACAGAAACTTTGATAAAGCAGGACACGATAGGCTAAACGCGTTTTTATAACAACTAAACACAGTTTCGTTTGTTAGGTTTTTGCTCTTGTTGTGTGTTCTCTTTAAATGCTTAATTTCCTTTTAACAAAGTGAGAGAGCACATGATCTGTAACAGCGTTGCATGTGGGGTTATTTATGAATGCGTGTTTATTTGGTGCAAAACTATCTCAAACAACGTGGTTAAATGTGGCTAATTTGAATTATTTTACATTACTTGGTGTAAGTGGTAGGAGGACATGAGTTTCAATGCGTAACAGGAGGAGGAGTGAAGTTGGGACGCAAACGGGGCTCTTGTGTTGATAGTCGGAATAAAACATGATGACAGTCCTGTTAATGCCTACCTGGAGCCCAGTTTGACCAAAACTGACAAAGATGGTTTCTTCCTCCATCTGTGTCTCCCTGTCATCTAGGCATGCATGTGCCAACTTTTTTCTGTGAATATGCCTTTGTGAGAAACTCTCCGGCTCGTCACCCTCGCCGGGATTCCCCTCAATATTTTCACCGAGAGACGAGAAAAAAAATCAGCAAAAATGGACAAAGAAGGAGCTGGTACTCAATATGAACCCGTGGCCGAGATTGGAGAAGGCGCTTATGGAAAGTGTACAAGGCGAGAGATATGAAGAACGGGGGACGCTTTGTAGCCCTAAAAAGAGTCCGGGTCCAGACGGCGGAAGAGGGGATGCCTCTCTCTACCATCCGGGAGGTGGCGGTACTGAGGCAGCTGGAAGCCTTTGAGCACCCCAATGTTGTCAGGTAAGTCAGGGGAGAGGTGGGTTGCCATGTGTATGTGTTTGTATGTCAGATAGAGATGCAGACAGTGTAAGATAAAAGTATTTTACGATAGAAACACACACTTATGTTATATGGTCTCATGTGTCAACCACACTGCCTCCTATGACCTTTAGGTTAGGCAAACACTCATACTGCCCACTGTTTTTGCTTCAATTGTGTTATGCTGACTCTGTGAAAATGGGGGTTGCATAACAATGTGTTGCCCCAGAACGTGGGCCGTAATTGCACACCTTTCAGAGCATAACTTTTGCCATTTGCATCAACCAAGTCTGTATTGTTAGTTTCATTTCTAGTTTAAAACATCCCTTTACATTGATGGACTTTAAAAGGTGTTACCCCCACTCATCCTACAAACTACTTGCCCCTGATAAAATGCTGGGTTGCAGAGTTATTTGAAGTATAATGATAAACATGTGGAAGTATTATAGTGTTTTAGGTTGCCAATACTCACGCAGTTATCAGTGATGAACGCACCTCAGCCTCATCGTACCTATGGCGTTTTCAGCCTTTCTAATAATTAGGCCTTTGCCAGTCGACACAATCAATTACATTTTCATATACCTGGCATTTAATTCAAAGTAGTCTAGAGCTGCAACTAAGAGCTTTTGAACTATAATTTAATCTACCAATTATGTTCTCAACGAATAGGTTGGTTTATAAAACGAATAATAGTGAATACATTCCAAAGTTGTGTTTTAAATGTCTTGTCTTGGTAATTCAACACCCAAATATAATCAGTTTGATTTGAAGTTTCCTATTTTGGATGGTTGAAACAAGCGTTTTCGGCTATTTAGCATTAGATAAATTACTTAAAATGTAATTCATTGTGTTGTCTGTAGAACGTATTTAGAGAAATTACAACATACCCCATCACAATGTCCTATACCCCACTAACGTCACAATTTCCCCAACAGAAAACCTAAGGTTATTCAGTTTAATATCAGGAAAGGCACATAATATATTCATATTTGAAAGACTGCAGGTAGTTAAAATGTAAAATTATACTGTTGGCAACTTCCTATTCACTTATTGATTAAATTAAAAATCATTACAGCTATAAAGTGAGTGCCTATTTTAGAATATTTGAACGCAAGCACATTACAAGTTTGAAGCGTTTTTTTATGTTCAATGCGAGTGGTGTGCTCATCAATACTAATCTCTGCTGTCAAAGTGCCCTTTAGCCTGACTGTCTCACAGCTCACTTACTGTAAGTAAGATTGGATTCACTGAATAAACTCCTTTTTTTAGAGACAAGTTACTAACAGCCTAGCTTCCTCTGTGCCCCGCTGACAGAGGCCATTTTCTTTCAGTTTTGAAATGAATTGTTCTGTCGGAGGTCAGCAGTCAGATACTGCGTCACATGTTGGCACCAGCCAAGGAACTGACCTTGCTTGTGCTTTTTTTAATTTTGGAATATGGAGGGCTGTGGGATTGAAGGGGGAATCCCTAAATGAATTTCAGATGCATGGCTTGTGCTTCTGTGCATCTAACAATAATTCCCCTGTGCATAAATGAATAGTCGTGGATAATGGTTTTTCTGTTAACAGGGTCACAATTTGCCTTATTTCTTACTGACAGACAAATAAATAATTGGGAATATGTTTTCTTAGGTCATTTTTATTAAGTGGTTGAGCAGTATTGTGGAAGCATTAGTTGTAATAATATGCAGGGCTATTGTTGCAATAAATCAATTCAAGAGTACAACCATCTGCTCTTTGAACTATCAGAGCCAGTTTAGCCAAACAGCATAGCAAAGCAGTCCAGGCCAGGAAGGGTGCATTGTGGGCCTTCTGTGTGACTCCAGGCAACCCCTGGATGTTAGTAATGAGGCCCATTATTCATTCCATATGTTCAGTGTCTGCTGAGAGCCCCCATTGTAGCCCAACAATCGAGCCGTGAGGGCGTTTAACCACCAGCGCTTCAGAGGAGGGCGCCGTTTATTCTGTGACATCATACACAGTACTAATACCTTGAATTAATCGCCTCTCACTGACTCCAGTATATCCAGGTCCGCTGATTACAAGGGTGTTGGCAGAAACGCACAATGCCTCGTTGGATAGGAATAAAAGCGTTTCCGGAGAGATTTACTAATTTCTTCACATGCTTCCATTTTAAACAGTTTATGTAGATTAGCTAGTGATTTATAGTAACATATGCCCCGAAAAAGTATCAAATTAATGGACAGACATGAGTTGGGCCACCATGAATTGATATTTTCAGCGATATTCATAATTGTATCTCTTCAGCTATCAATATTGACTTCAATCCAATCAAGCGTTTTGAGGTTGGACGTTTAAACTGCGATACTCTCTAGATTTTACATTTAATAATGTAATAAGTGCCTGGGTTGGCACTATTAAAAGGCCTGAACAGAAGGCATAACTTATGGTTTTATTGGGTCAATAAATATATTGCAGTCACAGGTTAAGTCTAAGTCATGGGAGATACAAATATTCGCCTTTGTGTTTTATAGCTTACAAATGTAATCTGTCTTTAGAAATCAGATTTTACCATTTCATTGGCTTATTCATTTAGACAAACATTCCATACTTTAAAGGGTTACAGTAACCCATTATTTTGTATCCTAACACAACTTGTCAGATAGTAATCCATCATGGCTTTCTTCGTCTCGTGTGTTGTGGTGGGGAAAGATGCTGCCTCTGCAACAGCTACAAGGTCCACTCAACTTCCCATAGAGAATCAGGAGTTGTCATAGTGCTGGTTGAGGAATGCTGCTTGTGGTCCCCAAGCTCTTTGAAGGGGACATACTGGATAGCTTTTTTCAGCTTTTCACCAAAGCCTGCCTTGGCAGGTCTGCTGAAATAATCTGGATTCTTGGCCTTAGTTTGTTGCCTAGTGAAAACACAAACCATAAAAGCTGGGTGTTTGGGGCCTAAATCTTTTTAAAACATTGTAAAGAAGTACTTTTTCTGTGCAGCCTAACACAATGTTATCAGAGTTCCAGCAGCACAGCATAATTCTGCTCTCCAAACGTGTACATTTTGCTATTGAAAGTTTCTTTAGAATAACCATAGCCAACGGTCCAGACACAGGTTCTTGTCATAAGATTCAATGTCTAAGAATGGATGACTCTTAACTGTCCAACCACCATGACCTTTCCAACCCTCAGATGTTGAGGTTTTACTGGAAGTTTTTTTTTTAGACAACATGTCCCTTGTGTCTTGTATATTTTGCTGCATCATAGGCTTTTTTTCTCATGCAGACATTTTGACCAGTCATAGCAGGAAACACATAGGCGTAACTAATAACATTAACGAGGGCTCCATTACATTAAGGTGTTCCAGTAAGTCGTAAGTCATTAAAAATGTCATTAGTTACACCTCTGTTTGATTGACATGTCTACTGCTGGGTACGGAGTAACTCTCTCGGTCACTCTGTTTGCTTTAGACGGCACAAAATTGTAGTGTACCTTTCTTTAATTTTGATTGTCCCATGTGTAAAATGTTTTATTATACAAGAGACAAGCTTTTGACAGTGGAACCAAAAAATATGTGTTCATAAGCAATCGTGTTACAACAAAGTCAATGCTTTGCCTTTGCTATCTGTGCA